ATCAGTTAGCAGTAGGTTCTATAAAATATGATAAAAAAAGCCAAAATGATAGTGTCTTAAATGAGTACAGTTCTCTCCACATAAAAGAAGTGTAGCTGTCCAAAGTCCAAGCCTATGTGGTAGGTACTATGGCTTGTTATTCACAGGAGGAATCACCATCCTTTGTAAGTGACTTAGTTCAGAAATTCAGGGCATACAGGTGACACAATTGCTTCTGAAATTAAACAAGTAGAAAGTGGGAGTGCGTACTTGGATTAGACTGAAGCCTACCTAATGAGTAAGGGATAAGTTTTCGAGTGATTTGGGAGACACAGTAAACACAGCTTAGTGTCCAGTTTAGTTGTAAAAAAAAGCATTTAAGGAGGGCAAATTTGGATAACTCCAAGTTTTCTGACTTGATCCATCAGCTAAATACAGTCAGCATGCCCTTCACTAAAATAGGGAATACAGGTGGAGGAACAGATTTGTGTTTTGTTTTGTTTTGTTCTAGGAAGTGAAGTGTTCCATAATTATTTGTGGTTCAGCACAACTAAAGAACCTGTATACCCTGGGAGAGAGCTAACAGGGTGCTTTTCTATTTGGAAAGTTGCATAGTTTAAAATAACTTGAATGAAGTTAGGAGTCACTTTAGGTTGGAATCTTGTTTTACACATTGCCATTTATGTGCTTTTGGGCAGGTGATTTAGTTTCATTAAGACTCAGCTTATTGGGAAATAAAAACTATAAGATTATTGTTAAGATTAAATGAGATGAGCTTCTTGATCTGAATGAAAGACAATGGAAGCAGTTGTGTTAGACCACGATGCAAAGACCACGGACTCCAACTGAAATCAAATTAAAGCAAGCTTATAATTTCAACCAGCCGGGCAGGAACAGAAGACAGCCCTGCAGCTTGGAGCACAGCTTTATAGCACAGAAATTTACACGAAGCGTGCTTTGAGAACTTACAGATAACAAAATTTTGACAAGCGTAGCACAAAGGCTAGTTAATATTGTAGCGGGCCCTGATATCAGAATTTATGAGGGTCATTAGAGCTTCAGAGAGGGTCGTTATCTGGTCAGGGAGAGCCAGGCATGAATTCAAGGCATGGGCAGGCATTCCAAGCAAGTTTAGAAATCGCAGTAATTTATAGTAAACCGAAATTAGCTTTTCATGCCTTTTGGCGAGATGGCTCCTAATCTTAAAAGGGAATTAGGCTGGGTTTATCAGTTGTCCAAATCTAAATCTCTCCAGTGTCTTGACAAAGAACCATAAGACCAAAAAGGATATTCCTCATACCTTCAACATTGCTATGATATAGGTACCATGAATTTTTCATTACCTTTAATGTAAACAAACATCAAATTTAAACAGTTCCGGTTGCTGCTATAAGCCTGTGAATGTGAAGAGTTAGGCAAGAGGAGGCCTAAGAGGCAATGAAGAGAAGAGGAGAGGGGAGATAGGTTAACATAAACCACGGTCGCCCAAAGAGAGAGAGTACCAACAGTAACTGCTAAAATACAAATCCTATAATTAGCTACAGGGAAGGTGTGTGAGGGAGGGGAAGGGAAGTGAGAGGGACCAGAAGTAGCAGCAGCTGAGAAGTAGTGCTCCTGGAAAAGGAGATGAAGAAAAGCATGGTAGTGCGTGGAAAGAAGGAAGTAAGGACAAAAGGGAAGGGCCCTAGAGAAATAAAAGAGAAACAAGGCCCAGCAGCACATCCCCCCAACTCCACCCTGACATTGTCTGTTAGAGGGGCCCCTTTCCAGTGTGAAGAAGCAAAGATTCTTAAACTGAGAACTCTGCCCACAAAATGGCCAAGAATAGAATGAATTAAATGCTATACAAAGCTAGTTTAAGAAAAAAACAGAAAAATGTGAATGAAAACATTTCAGTTGGTAGAAATTCTTCCCCCCCAAAGCAAACACAAAACAAAAGGAACTATATGTCAGTGTTCCAACCTAACAAAATATTCTCAAGCTAACTTATGGACATACTCAAAACAAAATACCACTTAGAAGCAAAAATTGAAAAATCTAAGAGACTACAAAAAAAGGAAGAACTGTGACATGTTTGATTAAATTCAAAAGAATTGAAGAAAAAGGCAAAGCTGGGCATAGGGATGTAGCTGAGTGCTGGAGCACTTGCCTAGCAGGTCAGGTGCAAGGCCCTGAGTTCAATCCCCCACAGGTACCCCCCCCACCGTCAAAAGTAAAGCCACATTATATCCAGGGGAGATTAAATTCAAATAAAAATTTAATTGGAGGACTGGGGACGTAGCTCAGTTGGTAGAGTGCTTGCCTTGCATACTCGAGGCCCTAGTTCAATCTCCAGCACCACAAAAAAAAAAAAAAAAAATCTAATTGAGACCATTGATGAAAAGAAGGAAAACAGCTAAAAGAATGAAATGAGATACAGAAAGAAGTAAATAAATAAATAAAACAAGCAAGCAAGAAAGAAAACTTTATAGAGTAGTTAAACTACAGATACAGGCAAAAGAAGACCCAAACACTTAAAATTTCCTTGGATTATGATTTAATTAGTCCCTGAAGAATAAAAGTCAGTAGAACAGAACTAATTAAATCATGATGCAAGGAGAAAAAGTATCTCACTACTAGTAAAGAAAAATTAGAGAAATAAAGGAAAATTAGAAAATCAGATTCCTTAAGAACAATATTCAAAAGAAAGCTACAGTAGAACAGCATTTTTTACAACTCTAAAGTGCAGGCAAGTGCAGTTTGAATGTGTAAGAGTTTAGGGACTACTTAGTAAAAATTTAACATACTTAAATATAAATCCAAGACTGAAACAGTGGTGGGGACATGAGTGTAATTGTTATATGGTCTTACAAAGGGAAAATAAAAATAGAATAATATAATTCTCTATTGTATACAGAGTAAGTTGGAGTCATATTATCATATAAATGGACAGACCAAATAATAAAAGGTTAAGTAAGCAAAAAGGAGATTTGACACACACAAAGGTATACACTAGAACAAAAATGCAGATCTTTCTTAGACCAAAAGAAAGTACAAAACCACAAAAATACCATATAGAGAAAAAAAGAGGGGCTGGGGTGGTGGCTCAGGGGTAGAGCGCTTGCCTAGCATGTGTGAGGCACTGGGTTTGATTCTCAGCACTGCATATAAAAAAATACAAGTCCATTGACAACTAAAAAATATTTTTTTTAAAAAGTATGATGATAAATTTGGCAATTATAAAAGAATAAGAGTTGAGTTCAAATATAATATAGCTATATCAACATTACATAGCCATATAAACATTAATGGACTTATTCAAAAGAAAAATATTTTCAAATGACATCATAAAGCAAAACCCAATTGGATGTTATAAACAAGAGACATGTCTAAAAATGTGATTAAAAAAAAAAAAAGATTTAAAGGGATGTAGCCAAGCATTGAGATTTATGCCTATAATCCCAGTGACTCGGGAGGCTGAGGCAGGAGGATCCCAATTTCCAAGGCCTACCTCAGCAACTTAGTGAGACCCTGTCTCAAAATAAAAAATAAAAAGGACTGAGGGTATAGTTCATTGGTTGAGTGCCCCTAGGTTTAATCCCCAGTACACAAAAGATAAATAAAGAGTTTCACAGGCAAATGGAAATAATAAGAAATCAGGGGTTGATAAATAAAGTAAAATCTAGGTTTAAAAAAAAAAACTTGACAGAGTACACTTATAATATTAAAAGTCATAATTTACAATGAAGTTACAATGTTTTTTGTATGCACTAAATATTAGCAAACACCACCATATAGCAGAATTACTATAGCAGAATATTGGAGAATGCAGGAAGCAACAGAAAAACATAAGAAAATTTTAACATCATAGTTCAAATCTAGTAGGGCCAGATGTTTCAAAATCACCTTGTTCATTTCCTGTTCCAAACCTAGAATTAGCTATTTTATAAAGGAGACTTGGATTCTTGTGAGAAATATTTGGAGATCTTTATATTAGGGGGGTGCTCGCATATTCAGTCTTTGTTTCTAGACTTCTCTAGCTTGAACTTTTTTTTTTTTAAATGCATCCTTAGTTCATGCTGACATTTATAATTATGATAACAAGGGTTTTCTTTGATTTTTATATTTGTATCTCTTGTTAAAATTCTAGTTTCCTAATGATTTTAATAGATCAGTACGTTCACCTTAACCTATGGTTGAAAATGAGCAGTACCAATTTTCTTGTTAAAAGTGTGATTAGTGCAGAGAGTTTAAGATAATATATATTGTTCTTTATGTCCTTAAGATATTTCCTAATATATATGTTTTAAGTTAAGTTGAAATGATTTCTCTTTATACGGTTAATTTACCAGCTCCCTACATAGTTTTTTTTCATTTTGCTTTTTACTCTTAGAGTTTTGTTATTTTTATTCTGATTTATTTTTGCTTTATTTTAAAACTTTAAGGATTCAAGCAAGATAGCTTAACTAACAGTAGAAATAAAAGTTAGGCTTTTGGAAACAGTGTTTAATTGGAGAAAAGTTATTCAAGAAAATTATTCTTGATTTTTTTTTTCTAAAATTGATGAGCAATTTATTAAAATTAAGAGTTTCATTTATCCCCTGTGTGCTAACTGGGATCCCATAACTTTCAAGGGATCCCTAAAAAGTATATCACACTACTGTCATACACACTATTTCCAAATACTAGTTCTGGGATTTTAATCTCAATATATTCGATATATTTGGAACTCTCAGTAAAGCCTTGTATGAAACTTCTTAACCCTTTAGTCTCCTTATTATGGTTACTCAAGTCCTCAGTTATATAAATAGTTGCTTATCTGTCTGTCTACTGCTAAAGTAATCTTTATGTGTAATATTGAAGTAAAATTTATGCTGATATACCCTGGCTTGAAATCTGGATTTTAAAACTTTAAATGATTATACTGGGTCATGAAAGTCTGGTTTTGTGACAGTAGCAACAATAAGTAAGATTGTAATTATTGTGTCTCATTTTAAGTGGTTTAATTCTACAATGTATAATTTTATCATTTTTCTTTTCAGAGGCTGATAAAATACCAGTAATGCGTGGACAGTGGTTTATTGATGGTACTTGGCAGCCTCTAGAAGAAGAAGAAAGTAATTTAATTGAGCAAGAACATCTCAGATGTTTTAGGGGTCAGCAGATGCAGGAAAATTTTGATCTTGAAGTATCAAAATCCTTAGATGGAAAAGATGGTAAGACCAGTTAATATATTTAATACATTCTGTAAATTGAGTAAATTATTGATAAAGTTTAAAAGTAGCTCATAAATTCGGTAGTAGTAATTCAGGAGGATTAAAATTTGTAAAATTTTGTTTGTTTATTTTTTGTGGTTATGGGGATCCAACCTAGAGCCTCAACATAGTAGGCAAGCACTGTACCACTGAGCTACAATCCCCAGCCCTAAAAATATTTGATAACTATTCTAAAATTAAAAACTGCTATAAATTTCAGAGCTGTCTCAATATTTATTTTACTAAATATGTATGTTTCACTGCATGATACTAACACCATGTATTGCAAATATATGTATATATTGTACTCCCTAAATTAGTCTTTTTTGGCAGTTTTTTAGTTATCCAAAAAAACCTTGAACTTAGTAGAAAAATTCCTTATTATGTCAAAGAAGCAGTTTTGTTAATGTTGGTTCTTTTCCTAAAGTTTAAAAACCTGTAACTGCTTTTGTGTATTCTTAACTGTCTCTCCAATGAGAACATATCAATTGCTAATTCGAAATAGTCTGCCCCTTATATTTCCTTATTCAGTATTTGGATATGTTTGCAATAGTTAAAAATATAATAGTAGCAAAGATTGCTGTGTTTTCATTATGTGTCTGAATCTTGAGTAAACTTTAAATGCATGGTAAAGTTAAAAATACTTCTATTGTTCCATTTACTGCAGGCAGTGGGATCAACTATTCTGGTGAGTATAAATGTACAGGTAGATTAGAATGTATAGCTATCTCTAAATTTTTACCTTAAAGAGTTTCTTCATCCATGCTTGCCTCTATTTGGAAGGTTTCTTGGCAAGCCCTACTGAACCTAGTGAATTGAGGAAAAAAAATACAAAGTGAGAGATTTCTTTTCTTCCTCCTAAAACATTTCTAATGCAGAAAAACTCAATATTGATCAGGTAATTCACAGACTACAGCTTGAAAAAACAAATTACATGGCTGGAAATGATTGTTCATATAACAAGTAATGGCAAAACAATAAGCTTTATATTAGCCGAAAATTTTTTTTTATTAGTAAGTTCTCTTTTTCTCTTTTCTTCTCTTTATTCTTTTATCTTTTTCTGAACACACACACACACATTGACCATGAGCATGTAAATTAGACAGTTTAGCTTATATCAAATTAAAATATCTTTTGTATCTACTTGGTTAAAAGTTTGTATAACTGAGAAAAGTTGTGACTTCTTAATAAATTTACCAAATTTGTATAATAGTTCTGTTATGTGCAGATATCATATTCTAGGAATTTGAAATTTATATTCTCATTTTCTTATCTGTAGAATCAAATATGTCCTTATTTCACTGTAAAATTCAACATGAAGGTTTTATATATCAATATTACAAAGCAGTTCAGTATAAGAACCATAGCTATATTCCTACAAACTGCTATAGAAATAATATTTTATTCTTGTTTTAAGAAAAATATTTACACAAATAACTTTTGTATACTTCTGGTTTTATGTTAGTGACTAGAATATTTTATAACCTCTCATCACTACTACCAGAAAAATCTCAGACCTACTTTATAATATCTCAAAGACGGACCCATTTTATCATAAAATAGTTTCATTGCCTTTAGTGAATTATGAGTTTTAGAAATTTTTTCCCCTGTGTTCTTAAGTCTTCTACCTCAAAAATGTTAATTCACCTTAATACTCGTGCATTAAACAAGTCTAAGAGGTTGGAGGAGGAAAAAGATGAGTCTGTAAAATATTAGTACAATGTTCTCCTTTCTCATACCGTGTTGAAACATTTGCTTTGTCATCCTGTGGAGGTGAATCATCAGCTCTGTTTCACTTGTAGATCCCTGGTCTTATCTATTTGGAATCTTTTTTCAATTCAAATTAAACTTTCATATATCCATTTACTCTTCTCCCTGATTAGATGTTAAATGTAGCAAGATTCTTCAGTTTTCCTCAAAAGTGCCCCAATTTAAAGAAGTCTGATAGGAGAACATGGTTTATTTGTGTAAATAGGTTTTTTAGTGTATGTCTTTGATGTATCAATCCAGGATATTATAGTATTGTGGGTTTTTTTGTTATCTTTAAAAATATACATTGAGTAGTAAAATTCTAATTAGTAATAGCAATATGGTTAAACTGATAAAGCATTTTTGCATTGTAATCTATCAAAAATAATGATTCTTTGAGGTTCATTAGAAGAAAATTTTATTTTTTTTAAATATGCCATGACAGATTCAGCATGCTTTGTTACTACAGATTACAAATTCAATTCAGAATAAATATAACACTCATAATTTTCCATCATTTTGTTATTCAGTATTATATTAAACATACATTTATGTATTAAAATGTGACATTGACTTTGAAGATTATAGGAAATTTTGTAGTACATTTGAAAATTATGGCTGGTCTTAAGGAAAGAATATAGCCCCCCGAAAAGCTACCATCATTGGGAAAATAACTCAAACTTAATCCTGTCTAAAGATTAAAAAATATGATCTTTTAATTATTTTGCTCTTACTTCTAAGCTTTTAAATTTTTATGTTTTATTAGTCAGTGGAGGAAATGAACTTCTCACCTTAATTGTCTTGCATATAAAGCCTTGACTCTGCATGTTGTCAAGAGATTTTGAATGCTTTCTTGAGTTAATAGTATTGTGGTAGGCACCTTTGTGAAAGAATAAACAAGGTTTTTTGCCCTCAAGGAATTTTCAATATTTTAGAGAAGAGAGTGACAACATGTGAGGATAGTTACAAAGTAAGTACAAGGTAACACAGTAGACAATGAATATTAAATATTCTGAAAGAGTTTTGGAATAACTAGAGTCAGTGATTACAGTGCAGTGGAGTAATTAAAATAAGGTTTTCTGGAAAATCCCATTTAATGAAAACATTTAAGAATACTATATTCAGGGACTCTTACTAAGTGCTCTGAGGAATTTCAAAGAAACTAAACAAAATTCTTGCCTTCAGAGACATTAAAATAAAATGATAACTCCCTTTTTCCTGGCCTTATCTAGTTGGGGTAGCTGTTGCCACAAATGAATTGGATGTGTTTTCTCCTTATTAATATTCCTATTAGTCTCAACATAAGCATGGAATTAAATATATTGATGAAAGTTTGATATAACTCTTTCTACCATCCCAATAAAAATAACCTACAAAACAATTACTTTTTGTAATTTAAATACTTGAATCTAAACTTAGTTCTTAGCCAGGCACAGTGGTGCATACCTTTAATCCAAGTGACTGGAGGTTGAAGCACAAGGAGGATCACAAGTTCAAGGCCAGCCTCAGCAACCTAATTGGAATCTTAGCAACTCCATTGTCAACATTTAAGAACACAAAAGGACTGGAGTTGTAACCCAGTGGTAAAGTACTCCTGGGTTCAATCCCTAATATCCAAAGTAAAATAAACTTGATTCTCTCTGAAAACTAAAATGAAAAATTGATTCTCTTTACTCTACCTCATAGCCTAGGAAACATCTATAGCCTAACAAATGAAAGTTTATAGTTTCACTTGAAATGAGGTGTAGAAATCACCTTCAAATAAGGAATTTGGTAAATATTAAAACCTAGTAATGATTACTCTTTTACTCATTTACAATTCATTCAAGCACATGCAATAATTTTAAAAGAAAAAAATAAGTTGAACTACATGGGTTAGTGTTGTACACCACTCTGACAAAAAAATGCATAATCTCAATTCCATAGTGAGAAAACATCTGATAAACTCAGATTGAGGGCCATTCCAGAAAATAACTAACCAATAGTCTTCAAAGTCATAAAAGACAAGGAAAGATTGAGAAATTTGTCACAGGTAAGAGAAGACATGACAACAAAATGCCATATGGTATAGTAGATTAGGTCCTAGAATAGAAAAAGACATTGTAGAAAAATAGAGAAATCTGTACAAAGACTATATATTAGTTGGTAGTATTATACCAGTTAATTTCTTAGTTTTGATAATTATACTTTAATTATACACAATGCTAACATAAGTGGAAGCTGGGTAAAGGAAATATGGTAGGTAATTCCTTGTACCGTTTTTCCTACTTTCTATTAAGTCCAAAATTATTCCAAAATGAATTGTTTTTAAGGCCAGTAGAGGAATTAAAACAAAATACTAAAACTCTTAGCCCCAAAACAGGGAAAAAGAAACAGAGAAACAACAGGTGAGACAAGGGAATATATAGTTGGCCTGAATTTACCACATCTGTAACTATAATAAATGTGAACTAATACTCCAGTTAAAAGTCAGAGGTTGTCAGATTTGATGAGAATGCAACACCTGGCTAGATGCTCTCTGTAAAGAGTCACAGTAAAGTCACAGATAAGTTTAAAGTAAAAGTTAGGGTTTTTACAGTTAAAGCTAATTTGAAATGCTGTGACCATACAGATGCTGGCAGCTCTCTGACGTTATAACAGCTTGCATTTTGGAAGGCAAAGTGTGTATTCCCATCACTTGCTAGATAAGGATATCCCATAGTATGAAAATAGCATTTCAGGAGTCAGTTTAAAAGATGGGGGAGTGTAGTTACCTTCTAACCAGCTTTCCTTTTCTTACTTGGGTGATTAAGATTTCTATCTTCTAGCATTTCGTTATTATTTTTTTATAAATTTATCTAACTTAATTTCTCTGAGATCCAAGAAAGATTGCTGGGAGTTTTCTCATTATCATTAGCAGATTTGGGAAGCACAGGCTGCCTTCCAGAGACTGCAGTTTTCTAGGTTTCCCACTTTTATACAGGGAAAGGTTCTTGAGTTTTTCTATTGGAAGGATTAATATATCATCAGCCAACCCCCTTTGGATATTCTTACTGCTTTCAGAATTATATGAAAATTTCTTTAAGAGGTGAATTAGTAAGGAAATATCAATAGTGTTTTAAATCTTTTTCATTGCTGTATAAAACTAATATTTGAAAGACTATTTTTTTTAAATATTACCATTTAATAAATTGACATTTTCACTTGTATTTTTAGTTCATGCATGTTTGCTAATAAGATTTACTAACTAAAACATGTATGTATGTATTTATGTATCTCATTGCTGGGGTTTGCACCCAGGGCCTCACACATTCTAGGAAAGTGCTCAACCACTGAGCCACACCCCTAACCCTAAAAATTCATTTTAAATGAAAAACAAGTTAATTAGTACTTTCTATCCTTGTGTGGATTGATAGTGAAACTTTTTTTTTTTCTACTAAGGGTAGTACCTGTAATACTGTGCTTTGGGTTGAAAAAAATTAAGCTCTTTGCTACAAAATATTTGACAAATAAAATAAATGATGTTCAAATGAAAACAAATTTGGAAGGTAAACCATATCTATTTAACTTATGGAAATGTTTTCAATATTTTTCTATTTTGAGGGTAAAAAACTTTTTTTCTCTCTTTCTCTGTATATTGGGGTGTTATTCTTTTACTTTAAGTTACTATTCTTTTAGAGAAGAAAACCTTTATAAGATGGTATTTGGTTCATGTTAGTTTTACTACTATATTTATAAAATCTAATTTTTGTTTCTCTGTATAATAAATTCTTGAGTTTATGTCAGTTTGGTCCACTTTGGTGTGTTAGCTTCATTTCCTAATTTAAAACTGTTTCATGGCTAAGTGGTATATCTCTTCCTGAATAACTGACCAGAAGGCACATGAAAGAAGAAACATTTCAGGGATGAAAATTGCTTCAGTTGTCATATTTTACCTCTGTAACATTGAAATCTTTTTATAATCCTGACGTAGAAACCCAGCTTTTAGCCCTAGTCTGCAGTGCTTATAGCCATATAATTACCTAGAGATATAGTTATTAAGTATATAGGTATAGTTATTAATGCCTGATAAACATTTCCAAAATTCCTTTATTGCACAAATCTTTGCATAATACCACATCTGTATATACAACAGATTTGTTATATTCTCATATTATATAATAAGAATTTTTTATTTGAGCAGTATTTAACCTTTGAATGTCAAATTAATGTAAAAAGGGAGTGAGCATGAAAATTAGAACGTAAGTTTTAACTAAATCAAAAATATTCTGTTATTTATTCAACTGAACTGCAAATAAATGATGTGTAAAATTCAATTCCAGGCAGATTTTAATAATTGCATACTTTAAACATAAATCTATGAATATATACAGCTAGCAAAGTTTGGCAGGGACCATGTGGATTTTAAGGTTATCTACTGATTTACCAAATATCAAGTCTGTGCCTTGCTTTCCTCTATGTTGTCTGTTAAATGCTTTCAAGATGTCACAGCATACATTTTTACTAATGATATTCTTTTTATTCCTAAACACCATAAATCTTTCCAAAAGGGATAGTTAAAAGTGTTTCTGATTTGGTTTTCTGTTTAAAATATTCATTTTTTAAAAGTCTTTTAACAACTTAAATGGAGTTATGAAAAGACATTTGTTTCTGAGGGGGACCTCGGGCCACTGCACTTCAGTGCTAGAAAGCATCAAATGAAATGTATACTGTGCTGTCTTCTTAGACAAGCTGTGTTAGAGGTTAAAATGTTATTCATTGCATTCTCAATTTGTACAGTTGTTGGCTGTTTCAGAGTCACAAATTTGGTGAGAGTAAATAACCTTAGTATAAAGATGGAGTTTATAAATCTCTTCAACATTCAAAAATACCATGTTCTATTTATGCAAAGACAATAAATGATAATCACATAACTGTAACTAATAAATTTAGCTATCATTTGCCTTTGTTTTTTTAGTAAACATAGAGCATATATTTGATAAACATTAAACTAATTTTTGCTTTACTGAATTTTAACTAAAAAGTATATAAATAAAACATTTAGAATAATGTTTGTCAAATACAACTCTTTTTTAAAGTTAATTCTAGATCAAAAAGGCCAAAGGACAAAACTCATTTAAATTTACTTTGAAGCTCAGTGTTTTTGCTTTCTTAGTTGTCCACCACCTCCCTCCCTTCTCCCTCCCTTCTCTGTTCAAATGGAGAGGATATAAGGAGAGTACAGATGCGGCAGGTCTTAAAAGAAAGCGTTCCCAAGGTACAGTAATTGTAGTTTTATTTCTCTGTGTAGTTGTATTCCCAGCTTTTAGCATTCAGTTGTGTTTAAAGTATAGAAATTTTAGTTTTCTTTTAAATGTGTGCATTATGCTATTTTGCTTAATGTTACTTAATTTATTTTATATGTTTATAAACATTGTAAACTATGTATGGCCCAGTAATGAAATGTGTACCAGTATTAAGATGTTTTACTTTAATACAATATGTAGCTGATTTTAAGGAAGAACAAAATTTTGCTGACATAACACTGTTCTAAATAGTTCAATCTTATAGTTTCAATATTTTAAGCATGTTGCTGAAAACTTTTTTAACAAAACTGTGGTTTACAAACAATTGTTAAAACCTTGCACAAATTTTTTAATTAATGAAGAGTTCTTCTACTTAAAAAGCTGAACTTGTACATTGTTTTCTTTGGAACTGAAGATATTATTTATTGGGTTAATTGAATCTTGATCTTGGTTTAGTGTCAGTAATATATCCTGTCAGGTAAGTAAAATATAAGTTGGTTTTTATTTTTTTCATTAACTTTTGAAATTACGTTTGTAGCATATCTACATTTTCTTATAGTGTATTGTGTATTCTAATAGGAAGTAGGTTTTCTTTAAAATGTCTTTTGACCTTAGATCTTGACCAGGGCTGTATCATTTTTTATATTTAGCTTAAGGTTATTTTCAGCTCCTCTTCAAATCAGAAGAATTAGACTCTGCCAGTAATTAGCTTTGTGGCAGGTAATTTAATCTCTTTTACCTCTATATCTTTATATATGTAATGGGGGCTAATATTTTGCCTTATAAGGAGTTTTTTTCTTTTTAAAGAGAGAGAGAGAATTTTTTTTTAATATTTATTTTTTTTAGTTTTCGGCGGACACAACATCTTTGTTTATATGTGGTGTTGAGGATCGTACCTGGGCTGCATGCATGCTACCGCTTGAGCCACATCCCCAGCCCTTAAATGGAGTTTTAATAGATAAACTAGATATAAAGTGGAAGCCATTTTCTTGGAAGATGAAAATTCAAATTTTTCTTGTCTGTGTGTCAAGAGATAGAGAGGAAAAGTTTAAGGCCTTCAGAATATAAGAATATGAAAGTATGAGCCAGGCGTGATGGCGCACACCCAGACCAAGGTGAGAGGATCGTGAATTCTACGACAGCCTGACAGCATAGCACAACCCAGTCTGTTTTCTCAATTTTTTGCTTCCACAAATATTACTGAATTCATAACAGGTTCTAGGCACTATGTATTTTGTGCTAGGGATACAAAAGTGATCAAGATACATTCCCTGCCTCACAGAGCTTATAAAGTCCTGACACATAATAGGTTTGGATTTCTTTCCTTAAGACCTAATTTTTACCAAGCATAATCCTGTTATAGAAATGTAATAACCATAATGATGAACATCAATGGATGAACATTTCTTTAATTTTTCACTAAACATCTATGACTTTGGGTTTCTTCTGTGATGAGCAATATCCAGTGATAATTGGCTTTAGTATACATTCCAAAATTACCCTATATTCTAATAGATTATTCTCTTCTGAGTATCTTGTTCTGTCTTGTACCAAGTGACATTTTTACAGATCTTTTGATACCTTTAGTAAAATCAACAGAAAAATTGAAACTTAATATTTCAGTGTCAGTTATTGAGGACTTTGAAATAGGTATATATTCCTTAGACCTAAGAGTCATATCACCTGGGAGCACAGTTTTTAAATAATCAAAACAGCTATTATTAAGTACATATGAGAGGCTAAAATCATGGTAGTTTCACCAGTCACTCTGTTGTTTTAACAAGTTATCATTTCCCTATGGCATTATTAATCCTTTATAAAGTCCTTATCTATTACTTTCTTGACTTAAATTTTTTTAAACAGAGTATTTTTTCTGTTGAACTGAATATATTTATGAGGTTTTAGATAATATCGATTCAAATGTCTGAGCATTTTAATTTTTCATACAAATGAAGTTTGTTTTCAGACCTTCAAGTTAATTTTTTCCTTTTTGTAACAGCTATTTATAGTTTCAAATTGAGTCGAAACCATGTGGACTGGCATAGTATGGATGAAGTATATCTTTATAGTGATGCAACCACATCTAAAATTGCAAGAACAGTCACCCAAAAACTAGGATTTTCTAAAGGTAATTGTTAAATATTACTACACTTTGTCAAGTTTTGGGGAATTGGGATGGGTTTTTTTCCCCTTATATCCAAAGTAGACAATTCAAATTTTATTTTTATTTTATTTTATTTATTTTTTATATGAATGTATAATCTTTTTAGTTTATTTTAAATAGGTATTAAATTTAGTGTTAGATGAAACTTTAAGCTGATTGAATTGACATGCATTCATCAGTTAATAATTATATATTTAGATTGATCTGACAAAATTAATAGATTACTTTTATACTTCTTAATGCACAAAAAAGTCAAACCTGAGGCAGTAAAGATAAAACATGGCAATTGGCAATTGAAATATAGAGTCGAGGAAAGTAAAGTCTGAAAAATTTCCATTGTATTTAGTGACAGTGGAGGTCACGGGTAACTTGGTGGGGCAGAAGCCAGAGTGGCATGAGTCTAAGCTTAAGTGGAAGGTGAGGAAAATGAAGGCAGTGAGAAAGACTGCTCTTAAAAGAACTTTTACTACGAGAGAGAGAGAGAGAGAGAGAGATTGATTGAGATTGGTACCTGGGGAAGAGATGAGAGTACTATCAAAAAATAAATTTTAAAAAATAATTTCAAAGTCTGACAGAATTTTACTATCTCCTTTTTAATTTTAATTTCTTTAAAATGTGCTAGAATATCTTTTCATATGCTTACTATATTTATTTTGAAAATTACCTTATCATTTCTTTAGCCCATTTTACTATATAAATGATGTTCTTTTACATTTTGATTAGCAAGATCTCCTTGTATATGTAGGGAGTTGACTTACTATGTGTCATATTTTGCCTAAATTTTCCTAGTTTTCCATTCATCCTTTTAATACTTACTAGTATTTTTTTAGTTTCAAAGAAGTTTTTAATTTTTATGTATTCAGTTTATACTTGCTTTTCTTTTTCCTAATAAGTTCTGGCTTTGGTATCATGTCTAGTTTACTTTATATCAACCAAACCAATATATCATCTTTTTAAAAAAATGTTTTTAGCTGTAGATGGACATAATAACTTTATTTTATATATGGTGCTGAGGATCAAACCCATTGCCTCACACATGTTAGGCAAGTACTCTACCACTGAGCCACAACCCCAGCCCCCAATATATCATCTTAAAAATGTTATTTCCTCCTCTGTACACCAGTATAATTTTTTCTTTATATTGTTATTACTACTTCTTTAAACACTGTAAAAATTCTGTCTCTCAGAAAGATGGTAAACTAAGAATCATAATTTTTCTACAGCATCAAGTAGTGGGACCAGACTTCATAGAGGTTATGTAGAAGAAGCCACAGTAGAAGACAAGCCATCACAGACTACCCACATTGTGTTTGTTGTGCATGGCATTGGACAGAAAATGGACCAAGGAAGAATTATCAAAAATACAGCCATGTGAGTTCTTTGATGAATATACTCTACATCTACTCTAGAATGCAAACTTTTATCTAGGGTATGAGAGCTATTAATAGAGTTTACTTGTTCTGCATGTTTCTCCAATGGCAGCTATTCTAACATTGGCCAAGTTTCTGAACCAAATTATGAGAGTGATTGTTATCTAGATAATGATGATGATGTTTTGTTCTTTCCCCTACTGTATGCAGAAGAGGAGGGATCTGAAAGCCTTTTTAGACTAATAAGTTAATTTACATTAATCTAAGGTTAAACACAAGAGAGAGACCTGTGTTAAATTTATATCTTAATCTCTGAACTTCAGAAACTGAGAATATTTCAAAGTTGCACAAGTCTGAAAGGGCTCAGAATTATTTAAATTGCCAGTTAGCAGCTTAACCTGTCCAATTAATTGCCACCAGAGAAAACATTGGCTACTTCACCAACACACAAGACAAGTCATTTATCTCATTAATTTAAAGAGATTTGAGCATAAAGCTGAATCAGTTATAGAAGTATGGATGTGTGGATTAGTGTGTATCAAAAGATTTAAGTACTTGTGTTAAAAAGGAAATATTAAGGCTAGAAGTTCCACCACAAATTTGGCCCTGAGCCATTTCTTTAAAGGATAGCCACTATAGAAAAATCTGATAAGGTGCAGATTTATGATATAATGAAAACAAGTCAGTTGCTATTTAGAAACAGTTATCTGATTCTGAGGCTTCAAGTAAGTGTTTCTTGAGTCCTTATAAAGCAAATAATGTGTGATGCTAAAGAGTATGTCCTCAGCAATATTGCTATAATAATATAACGTTGAGAGTTTCATTTTACTTTTTATTATCTTAATGCCACCTGATAGATTAAAGTAAAAGTATAATACAACATTTAAAGAGAATTTTGTGCCAGGGATAGTGGCACAGTCCTATACTCCCAGCTACTTGGGGCGGGGGTGGCAGAGGTAAGGCACGAGGATCACAAGTTCAAGGCAAACTTAAACAGCTTAGCAAAATCTTGTCTCAAAATTTAAAAAATTAAAAAGAATAGGTAGAGTGGCTCAGTGGTAGAGTGCTTGCCAAGCATACACAAGGCTTTCAGTTCAATCACCAATACCAGAAAAGAATATATTTTTTTTTGATGAATTCTGCTAAGCTACCCTGACCTTTTTTATTTCCATAGCTTTTATTATAGGAATCTTCACTCTGATCCTAGTTATAGTTTCTGATGAATTGTACATTATTTCCCATGATAATTATATACTGTGTTCAGATGTTCAATCTTTTACTTGAATATCTAGGCTCCTAAGAACTAAGTGTACTGACATATTCTCTCTGGAATAATTGATAAATAAGAAAGTTATTTCTTTGGATACAAGTGAAGGAAAACTTAACACAGAAAGGCTTAAGCCACAAAGAGTATTTAGTAACTCATTATGCTAATGAGACTAGGAGTGCTACTGCCAAATAAGTCACCAGAATTCCATCAACTTTACCCTGCTTCATTTTGGAGCTACTCCTGAATGTATATTGTGGTTCCAGATATGGTATGTAGCTATCTTCTATTCATATTCAAAAATAAAGGACAAGTCTTTCTTTCCAGAAGTCCCAGTGAGTCTGTCCATTTCATTGACTGGTGATATTGCATCCAAGAACCTGAATTTGTACATGTGGCCATGCAGAGTCTGGCCAAACTTGTCATAGTCTCTTTCTTCCGGTTTCAAAGTATCAACTAAACATTCATTGCCTGGCAGAGAGAACATGAAAGTTTAATAAGCTTCTAATAAGACTGAAATCATGATTTATGTGCATAGCATTATAACAGCATAATTTTGGTTATAGTTTTAGCTATAGTAAGACTCAAGATTATTAAAATCAAGAATAAAAAAGGGGACATTTCTATCAACTACCAACCTTATAGAAATAGAAAGTATTATAAGGTAACATTATGTATAATTCTATGCTAGTAAACTATTTAGTGTAAATAGACAAAATTTCTAGCAATTATAAAAACGACCAAAAAAATAGAGTGTTCAAATAGATCTGTACAAAGTAAAGCACTTAAAATAAAAATCAGAAAACTGCACTAAAACAAACCAAAAAAGCCCAGAATAGATGACTTCACTGGTGAATCTACCACATATTAAAAGAAGAATCAGCACCAATTCTTCACAAATGCTTGAAAATGTAGAAATTTTCCAGTTGATCCTAAGAGGCCAGTATTATTCTGATATCAAAAGCACTATTAGGAAAAAGAGACGAATATTCATTACAAGTACAAAACACAAAAATCTTCAACAAAATATCAGCAAACTGAGTCCAGAATATATAAGGAGAATTAGATATAATGATAAAGTGAGATTTATCCCAGAAATTTAATTCTAACTGTGGTTACTCTTAAAGAGAAAGAGAAGGAGAGATGAAAGATGATAACAGAGGAAGTGGGGACAGAGAGTGGAAGAGAAAGATGGATATGTTGTAGCCATGTACCCAAATTTGCCTTCCTAGAAATGATGCACATTAATTAATAGAATAAAAGGGAGAAAGTACATCATGTGGTTTTTGATATGCAAAAGGCATTTGACAGAAATCTAACAACCTTTTGTAATAAAAAGCACTCAGGAAACTAGAAACACAAGGAACTTTCTCAGTCCAATAAAGGAAACTCTAAAGAGCCCTCAGCTAATATTATGCTTTCTCCAAGATCAAGACAAGACAAGGATGTTACCTGCCACCACTTCTGTTCAACATTGTACTGTATGTTTAACCCATGACAGTCAAGAAAGAATGGGGGGAAAAAAACATCCAAATTAGAAAGAAGTAAAATTCTCTGCTTGTGGTGACATGATGTGAACACAAACACACACACACACACACACAGTGTGAAGATGTGTGGGCTAAAATAAAGTCAATAGATAAAAATTGTTATGGAATTCCGTTAACTATAGTATCAAAAAGAATAAGGAATAAGTTTAACAACAGAATCATAATATTTGGGTGCTAAAAACTATAGTAAACCCTTGAAAGAATTTAATTCTAAACAAATAAATGGAGAAGACATCAATGATTATGGATTAGAAGATAATGTTAAAATACTTTTCAAGTTTACCTAACATTAATGCAGTCCCTAGTAAAATGCTACCTGTCTTTTTGTAAAAATTGACGGGCTGATTTACATGGAAATGCACAGGACCCAGAATAACCAAAACTATCTTGAAAAAGTCCAAAGGTGGAGGACTCTGACTTCTGATTCTGCAGCTTACTGCAGCAAGGGACACTGTCAAGAAAATGAAGACAACACTCAGGATAGGAGAAAATATTTGTAAACCACAGATGAGGGTCTGGTGTCCAAAGTCTTCTTACAAGTGAACCATAAAAAAGAATTCCAGTTTTTTTTCAATGGCAGGATTTGAGTAGACATTTTGTCCAAATAGGATATATAAACGCTCAAAAAGTACATGAAAAAGATGTTCAGTATTATTAGTATTAAGAAGATTTGATTCACAGTGACAGATGCCCACTTTGATCATTCTTTTAAAAAAATGAGAAACAAGTGTTAGCAAGGATGTGGAAAAGTTAGCAACCAACAAAAACCAACAAAGTTGTTGTTGGGATTGTAAAGTAATGTAGCTGCTTTGCAAAACAGTTGAGCGGTTCCTCAAAAGGTTAATTGATAGTATATGGGCTGACAGTATCCCTTCTAGGTAGAACTGAAAACATGGCCACACCAAAACTTCTCAGAGAATGTCCTCAGCAACATTATTCATAATAGCAAAAAAAATAAAATAAAATAGTGGAAGCAATGCCCATCGACCAGTGAATAGATAAAAGTGGTATATCAAAATATTATTCAACAGTAAAAAAAACAGTGAAGTACTGATTCATGATACAGAGTGGATGAACATTGAAAACATGTTAAATGAGAGGTCAATCACAAAAGGCAGCATACTTTGATTCCATTTATACATTAAATGTCCATAATAGGCAAATCCATAGAAGCAAAAAGTAGTTTAGTAGTTACCAGAGGCTAGGGGGGAGAAGGATGGGGAATAATGCTAAAAAGTATGGTATTTCTTCTTGAAGTGATTAAAAAAAACTCAAATTAGTTGCATATTTGTGAATATAGTAAAAGCTACTGCATTATTCAAAAAACAACAAAGAACCAGTAAGGCTATGTCAAAAGTACTGAAACCAAAACTCACAGACCAAGAATAGGAGACAATTCAACCTTCATTAAGGCACACAGCCACAGTGGATAAAATGCCCCACACATTTAAATCTATGAATTAGTAATGGCATGTGATATGGTCTAGATATCATTTGAGTGACCCTCAAAACTTTGTAGGTTGACATTTAGTCCCCATTTTCAGATGTTAATAGGGTGGAAACTTAATCCAATTATGGTGTTTGGTAGGGCCTTAGGGAAGTGATTAGGAACCATATAATGTAACATCAAAATTTATATCCTAACAACTTTTTATTTTGAAAACTTAGTAAAATGGAAGAGTTAAACATTTATCCTGCTTTTTTAGATGAACTGTACCTCAATTCTTCAGAAATTATCTGGTTTTCAAGGTATCAGCATATAGATTACATTTTAGAAACATATACTATTTACAGATAAAATTATGTGATATCTGGAATTTTCTCTAAAGTATGGGAGAAGAAGCCCTGCACAGTAGCACACTCTTATTTTCTAGCAAATGCGAAGGCTGAGGCAAGAGGATCACAAGTTTGAGCCCAGCCTCAGCAACCTAGTGAGATCCTGTTTCAAAAAGGGGCTGGGGGTGTGTAGCTCAGTGGTAGAGGGCTTCTGAGTTCATCCTTGGTACTGCCCCAAAATTAAATAAATAAAATATGGAGGAAAGGTATAATTGTTACAAGGGTAGTGAGAAGGAGTTTTTGGAATGAACTGTTTAGTGCCTTGATTGTGTGGTGTTAGCCACAATCTATACATATACTAAAATTTATAAATTTATATAACTGACAGTAAAAGAAACAAAAATAAATTCATTGATCTTAATTTCTAAAATAAAATTTATATTATAGGGGAAATGAATTGAATAAATAAGAAAAGCCGTGACTTATTAATATTTGGAGGTAGATGATGGCCCAGGGGTAATCATACTATTCTGCCTACTAAAAATTCATATAATAAAATGTAAAAAGTTGGAGCAATTGAAACCATTGATGGAAAATTTAGGAAGGTAACTTTGAAGGTATCCTAGTGCTGCATACTTGCTTCGAGTAGCAATAATTAAAATATAATTAGACAAATTTATAAGGCAATGGAAGTATTATGATTAAGGATATTTTATATCATAAATACATATGTGAAGTTACTCTCAAAGTTTTGTTTTGCATTTATTTTATTTTTAGGATGAGAGAGGCTGCAAGAAAAATAGAAGAAAGGCATTTTTCCAACCATGCAACACATGTTGAATTTCTGCCTGTTGAGTGGCGGTCAAAACTTACTCTTGATGGAGGTATATTTTGTTTCAAAATCAAGATTTTTAGCCATTGGTAAACTTAGCAAAGTAAATGTAGAAAACTTTAGAAACAATTTTTGCTTGTTGGGAACAAAATACCTTCCATTTGATTTTCTTGGCTTATACTCACGCGTTGCTCTAGATTATTTAAGAAAATAAAATCCATTGTTTTGTTTTGTTTTTTAAATAATTGTATTGATTTTGTGTCATTTGGACCATCATATGATTTCACAGATAGCACTGTTTTTGTATGTCTTCTGTGGGTTGGGGGTAAGGGGTAACATGGAAGGAACAAAAAAATTTCTAAAATCCATCTTTTCTAAATCCAGGTTACCACATTTATCATCATGCTAAAATGCCTCCTTGATGATTTTCAAGGATTCTTCCAGGTCTGTGATATTGTCTCATAGTCAGGAATGTCAGTTGTAGCTTATCAAGCTAAAATGGAATCAAAGGTTATAATGGGTTGTTAAACAAATTCTAGTGACCAAAAAAGAGCTCCCAGCAATAATAGTTCATACATAAAGTTCTGTAAAATAAAAAGTGTCCTTGGGCTTTCCTCATTCCCCTGATAAATTTCTTAGGCTATTCAGGGATGCAGACAATGAGGATGAATTAATATTTACTAAAACCCCTGAGTTTGTCATTTCTGTTAGGTTTAAACTACTGTGGTAGTTTTGAAGTCACTATGATGAGTGAAAGAAGCCTATTGTGAAAAAATATATACTTGGTGCTTCATTTTTATGGTATTAAGAAAAGGAAGAACTATAGGAACAGAAGTCAGTGTTGCCATCTGATGGAAGGGGAAGGGTTTCAATTCAGAGGGGCAGCATGTAGAAGCTTTTTGGAAATTGAATAGTGCTGTATCCTGATCATGGTGGCGGTCGCATAAAACTGAATGCATTAGAACTCAGTCAATTTTACTTTGTAAGTTTTTAAATGATAATAAAAACATGCTCTAGCAAACATAAGGGTACTTATGAGTGGTGAAAGGCTAAAAACTTTTCCTTTAACTCAAGAATATGCTAAAGATGCCCATATTTAACATTCTGCTTTGAAGCCTCAGCATTGCAATAGTTTAAGAAAAAATAACAGTGATAAGGAATCAAAAAACATCTGATCTGTTTGTCTATCCACAACATATAAAAGAATACAGAAAAATTTTTAGAATTAGAGTTTAACAAGGTTGTAAAATAGAAGATCCATATAAAAGTAATTTCATTTCTGTATGTCTGAAACAAACAGAACTAACCAAAATACAAGGTCCCAAGAAATAACTAACAAAAGATATATATTTATATTAAAAAATAAAACTTAAAAATATTAAATTTTACTTATATATAAATACAGATAATTTTCTTAGGTTGGATGATTTAATCTCATACAGGTGTTGATTATTCCAAATTGATGCATAGATTCCATGCAATTCTAGTCAAAATTTCACTGGAGTTTTTCATGAAACTTGATGTTTCTAAAATTATTACAGAAGAACAGAGGATCAAAAGAACACAGAACAAGGGAGTAAAAGGGGAGTCATGACTACTAGATAGCCAGACCTATTATTTAACTTTTGTAATTAAAGCAGTTGAGTATTGGCAAAGGGAAGACAAATAGACCCCTACCCCAGAGTAGACTTCCTCAATAGACCTGTTCCAAATGTGGAAACCTTATATATTTCAGAGCTGGCATTACAGCTCATTGGTGAAAAGTAAGTTCTGTAAGTGTGCTTGGCAACTGGTTGTCCTCTGGGGAAAAAGGAGAAAAATAAAATCCCTACTTAGATTCTAGATGTATAAAAAATCATATTATGGAAGCTAAGACTTTAAAATCTTTTAGAAAAAACTCTCAAAAGAGTATCTTTATGATCTCAGAGTAGGGAAGAAATTCTTAAAACATAAAAATATCTTAACTATAAAGTAACTTGGGTAGATTTGATTAGATTAAAATAAGGGCCTCTCTATCAATAGACTTTAGACCACAAAGAATGAAAGAGAGTCCACAAACTGAGGAGAAGTGTTGCCTCAGAGTAACAGTCAGAGCTACCAAAGGTTTAATATCCAGAGTAAAGAACAGGAAAAAGGAAGAGGGAAAAAGTATGTATAGATCATATAGGAGAAATACATAACACTAATAATCAAGGAGGATGCAAATTAAAACCACAGCAAAATATCATTCACAGTAATAGGAGAAAAATTAAGAAAATGGCAGTGCCAAGTTTTCTAGTGAAGATTCTCATTCACTGCTGGTAGAAATTTAAATTGGTACAATCATTTTGAAAGGTGACATTATCTTATAAAGTTGGGTGTGCATTGACAGATACTGTGGCACAGCAATTTCAGTCCTAAATATTCACCCTAAAGAAAATCATAAAGAGCTAGAAACAACAAATATGTCTCTCAAAGGAGAGGATAAATTGTGTTCAATGTGTGGACTGGGTTGTAATCAGCAGTAAGAATGAGTAGAGGGCTGGGGTTGTGGCTCGGTGGTAGAGCACTCACCTAGCACATGCGGGGCCCTGGGTTCAATCCTCAGCACCACATAAAAATATATAAAATAAAGGTATTGTGTCCAACTACAACTAAAACAAATTATATATAATTAAGAAGGAGTAGAATACAGCCAAATGCATCAACATGGGTGAATCCCAAACCTGATGGAGAGGGAAGCAAACCATGAACAATTAATACAGTGTTCAGAATCAGGCGAAATGGAATAAAATATTTAGGTACTGGCACATAGTAAATGCTATACATACAAGTCATTGACTGTAGTTATTAATATTATTAAACATGTAGTAAATCTTTAAGGAAAGAAAAGCACAATTAATCCCAGCTTCTCTTTGGTGATTATATCTAGGAAAAGAGAGAGGTCTGATAAATTGTTTTCTATGTGTGGACTGGGTTGTAATCTATATTATATATTATATTTGTATATATTATATATATTTATTTATATATATATATATTTATATTTTTATATATAGTGGGCGTTAGACAATGGCAATATTCGTTTTGTTTTTGGTGATGGTGCTAGAACTAGAGCTCAGGGCCTTACACATGCAAAGCATATGTTCTCTACCATCAGGTTACACCCCCAACCCAATGGCAATATTCTGAGCAATGTGGTAGAATTGTTTCCTTTTTGTAAATTGTTCTTTCAATTGCTCATATAATATATACTTCTTTTGTATGTATGTGAATTTCACAATAAAACTTTATTGAATGTATTAAAATGAGATTTAAACACTTTTTATATCAGCAAGGTAATCATACCTTTCACTTTAGCAATTTAAAAATAAGTATCATGTATAAATACGTTGTATGATCTATGCACAGCCACAATTTTTCCCTTTACATCTTTGAAAAGACTTCTCTAGTCTCTGCTTGTCATTGCCTTCCATTCCTTATTACATTGTATTAAAGTGGGGGAAAAAAATAAAAACAATATAACATAACTCAATGCAGTAAAAAACTGAAAGATAAAAGAAATTGGAGTTACTAAAATTGTAAGCCTTCTTCTGTCCACCTTGTGCTTTCAAGTAATGATATTCATCTATATATAGTCTTTTGTCATGTTTTTATTAAGAAATCTGAAGTTTTCTGCATACTTTTATTAGGTGACCTTTTTTTTCAACACAGTAAATTACCAGCTTTATCTTGTCTATTGAAGAATCCATTGCTAATTTATTTCACTTTATGCATATCTGTCATTGTACAATTCTTGCCCATAGAATCTTTGGTTCACTAAAGATAGATAAATGAAAAGCATGGGAAACTCTTCTTTTTTTAATTTGTTGCTATTAGTGGCAGCAGGCATTCCACATGGACATTTCTAGGCCCAAGACACTTAGATCAAAGAAGTTTTGATGACAGTGGACTTCATCCTTTAATAATGTTCCTTTTCTTTTCATGTTCCCTTTTGTTTTTTATTGTTTGGGTTTATTGTTTTTCTTAGAGAGTTTGGCAGGAAGGGAAAATCTGTTAGAATCAAAGCCAGTCTTGAATATTTTAATTGTTAAATTGTTATAGAAAACAATTTTTCCCCAAACTAAAGACCTCATGTTTAATTTTGTTCTCATTTTGTTTTTGTAGATACTGTTGATTCCATTACTCCTGACAAAGTACGGGGTTTAAGAGATATGCTGAACAGCAGTGCAATGGACATAATGTATTATACGAGCCCACTTTATAGGGATGAAGTAAGTATCATTGTCTTATTGCTGTTGAGTATATTTTCAAGTGATAGCACATAAATGACCTAAATTTTAACATCTTATGGTCTTTTTTAAAAAAAGCTAATGAGAAATTGTAGGAATCAGTTAAATAGCCTGTATTTAATAGTGAATTTGATACTTCAAACTAGACATTGTGACCCTTTCATAAATGGATAGTCCCTTGGGTAGAGGATTGCTTAGAAAATAGTTATTTGAAAAATACCAGTTTTTGCAAATCTCATTAATTATATCTCTGTTGTCTTCACAAAAGTTTGAGACACTTAAGAGATTCCCCTCAAATTATTTGTATGCAGTAGACTGACTTTCATTGCCCCACTTCTCTAATGGATCCAGGTAGCTGTCAAATGGTAGTGTTGCTCATACATCACCCCGATAACACTGAAGCAGGTAGGAGGTAAAGGTTTATTCAGTGGGGTGAGAGAAACTCAACCAAATGTGCCTTGTCACTTTTTTGGAGAAGGAATTCTGTTTCATAGGAATAACAAATACTTGTTAATTACCTAATATGTATTAACATCTAACCTCATAAAAACCCTGTGAAGTAAGTGGGATTAATATCCTCACTTAAAAGGTAAAGAAACTAATGGAAGGAGAGGTTAAGGGCCTTGCCCGAAGTGTCTCACCTAGGAAGTGGCAGAGCCAGGGTTTGAACCAGGTGATAGAGCTCCATAGCATGTGCTGTTCACCACTCCTCTCTTCTGTGTTCACAGTATGGCCAATCTGCTATCTATTCACTGGTTGTTTTGACTTCTCTGGGCCTTTAACTTTATCAATACATATTTAGTGAGTGCCTACTCTATACCAAATACTGGCTAACATTGGGCCACTTTGAACTGTTAGCCCTTATTAGTAGAGAGACAGGGAGTGTCAGTGTAGGTGTTTGAAAGTAAAATCAGTTGCTTTGGCTAAATTCTTTTATCAGGAATCTTAAGTAAAATTTCATATGCTAATCAGCTGCTAGAAGAAATTTTGAACTAAGGAAATTATCAACACATTTTATTGAAAATTTGTTTATTGAGAACTTATTATGTATAAGATAGGGTACACAGTGGAAGAGGAGGACAAAGATAGGAGGACCTACCCCCAAGAAGGTTTAAAACAGTGTGTTACAGTACAGTGTGTTACATGAGCACACAGTCCTGAAATGCAGTATCTGCAGAAAAGAAGTCATGGAAAGTTTTAAAATTGTTCTTTTTACTCCCTGAAAAATATTTTAGGCTTATTGTTATAATCAAGTTTGTATTTTCATATTTCTCCTTAATCACATATGGCCCCAGTGTTTTTTTCTAAAACTGCCATTGGAATTCTTCAAGTTGTATAGGGGCATACAGACTTCTTGATTCCAGGCCACCTGTAACACATAATTTTTGGATGACCTCTCCATCTGCAAAATGGGTGTTCTAACAGTAATTACTTTATGGGGTTCTTGTGCAGATTGAGATAATACATTAATGTGGCACATGGCAGTCAGTAATTAAGTTATTACAGTAATTAATAGTTATTACTGTAATAATAGTAAATCGTTTGATTCTGAATCCCGTCAAAATTCTCCAGTTATGAAGCAGATGCACTACTTCCTGCAGACACCTCTACTTTGATAAGAGAAGGAAAGGCTTGATATTTCTATCAAATATCTTTTATTAGTTTTTAATCTAAAAACATTCCTGACTTCAGACAACTTGAAATGGAGTGAAGCCTGGCAATAGGGTTTAATGTATATGTTGCCGAGAGTATACAAAGGTCATACTTTTTTTTAGTAACCTATAGCTGTCTTTATAATAAACATGTAAACCATTTCAAAACTACTGAGTTTATTGTTTTATATGCATTAAATTAACTTATACATTTAGTTTTTTGAATATTTTCTAAGCACATTTTTGTTTTTCTAGACTATATAAAGTGACTTGAGTTCGCAACGTTAGTAACAGATAGTATTGTTTGTCTTGTCCCTCCCATTTTTAATTTTCTTGGGGGGAGGGAAAAATGGTTCTATTCCACACCCCAGTTCTTTGTTCATAAATGCAAGCAAGAAATGGTGTAAGCCCAAATAATGTCTAAAGGAATAAAGAGAAGCAATAAATTCGAAATATAATTATAAGAGACAATTAAGAGGACTTGGAATGCTTTGTTATGAGTAATGACAAGTTTCGAAGAGGCAAAGATGACTTGTGATTTCTAGCTTAGGTAGCTGGTAGATGGTTCTGATATTAACCAGCAGTGGAAGAGGAGAAACTAGATACTTTTGTGGGTGAGAAGGGTAAAACATTAGAAAATAATGAGTTATGCTTGCTAAATTTTAGGTATGTTTAGTAAGATTTTTCTTCTGGAATTGTATAGTATAGACTTAGACAAACAAGGCTAAAAATTAGCTTCAGAAGCATTCATATTCAGGTTTCTAAAAAATGTAATGGCCTTGAAAAGTAAGATTGTCCAGAAAAAAATGTAAGATAGAAAGAGAAAAGGGTCCCAGTCAGATATCTGAGGAACTTAAGTTAGAACACAGGAAAAGAAATCAGACAGTAAGAAGATAACCAGATGAGAGTAAGTTGCTTAAAAGAAGAAACTGCACCCATTTTCAGATTAGGCAAAAAGGAGAAGAGATCATTCTATACAGAGGCTGAGAGTAAGAATTGCAAATACTTAAGAGTTTTGTAATTGAGGGTAGTAAGAGAGCAATTAGAAGAGTTTGGACTGAACCATAGGGAGAGGAAAATTTGGAGGAAGAACTTGGCGTTCAGGAAAACAAGATGGAAGAGGTAAAGTTAAGAAGTTGTTTGAATGTAAATGGGTAGAACTTAAAAAGTTCCAGTTAAAATTTGGGGCACAATTGTTTTCAGTGACATCAAAATTTTGACCCAGTAACTGTGATAGGACTTAGGGCCAAAAGAAAATTTTAAAATGTTTGCAGTTGTAGTCAATCAAAGCTTCTGCAAGTTATCTTTCAGAGATAGAAGCCTTTTCTTTAGTTTTAGTCAATTTCATAATGTAAGAACTCAGTGGGCCATGTATGGTGGCAAATGCCTTTAATCCCAGCAGCTCAGGAGGCTGAGGCAGGAGGATCAAGAGTTCAAAGCCATCCTCAGCAAAAGTGAGGCACTAAGCAACTCAGCAAGACCCTGGCTCTAAATAAAATACACAATTGGGCTGGGGAGTAGCTCAGTGGTCTAGTGCCTCTGAGTTCAATCCCCAGTTACCACCTTTCCCCAAAAAAGGGACTCTATGCTATTAATTTTAACCAAATTTAAGAATTACTTACCCAGAAAATTTAACCCATTTCAAGAGGAATATGCTTGAATTAATCTCTTCACTGGAGTTCAGATTGTTCTAAGTAAAATCCTACAAAGGTTTTTATTGTTGATGTATGTGAGTTGTCTTCATCCTTCTAACAGAATGAAGACTTTGTTCCTTTCAGTGTTTACATATTAGGCTATGGATAATTTGAAGCACTATATTCATGGTGGCAATAAATTACAAATAACTCACAACATATTTTAGTCAGCAAGAAACTTAATTGTAAATAAATTATTGGCTTTATTCCTTCTACAATTGGCAGTGTTACTTGGACATATAAGTTTTAGGTATTTGGTGGAATGAATGAAGCTATCCAGCAGAGCTGCTCTGGGGTGCGTAAAGCCAGTGCATTTTTTATTTTGTTCATTCAGTAACTTTGAATATCATTCTGCATATCCTTTACATATATGTAGAAATGTTTATTTGGTTGGTTACCAAAGAAACCTCCTTCTGTCCTGGCTGCCATCTCCTTAATTTTTCTCCATTTCTCCTTCTATACCAGTATTGGGCAAGGTCTGCATTGAACTTATTGGCAGAAGTGAGAAACAAAAAGGGAAGAAAAATATGGCCAATTCTACCATATTGTCCACACAGTTTACAAAACTAGTATAGGTCTGAAATAGAATAAAGAAGATGTTAGCCTCCTAGACACCAGCTAGAAGTCAGCAATGACTTCAGTATATTCTTTACTTACAGGCTAACATACCATTTACCAGAAGGTGAGAGAAGCTACAAGAAGAATTACTATTCTGAACCTAATTCTAACCAACAAGGAAGGCCTATATCATGGAATAGAAACTAGCAGTTATGTGTTCATAGTCTTTCATTAGTATACAGTGGGCATTGTTAGCTATGTGCTAAGGTTAGGAAATTGAACTATAATATTGTAAATGGAACCATTGCGGTGGAAGACAAAGAGAATGACTGAGAACATACTTTTACTATTACATACACACACATGATTGGTAATATCCCTAAGAGGATATGATTAAGGTTAAAATGTGCTGAAGCAGGTTCCCAAATAGTAATAATAAGAGCATTATAAAGCTGGCATTAATAACAAGAATAGGAAAAAAAGTGTCTGATTCAAAGCTCTGACCACTGGCTAATGACATTTGAGAAATTCCATCACTTTTTATTCTGTTCTTATATCTGCAAAGATAGTTATTTTCAGAATGAAATCAATCTTTGACAGTGTTTTCCAAACATCCCTGATTAAAACTGTCACTTGGTTCTTATTCAAAATACAGACAAAGAAGAGCCTTATGGGGGAGACTAGAATTGAAGGTATCAGTCTGAACTCAGGATATCTAAAATTTGTGCATATAGATATTATGTACATTTGTAGGTGAATGTGTTTATATACTTGCATGCATTTCCAAGCTTGGTCCACTAAATGGCAAAAAATGCAGAGACATCCTGGTCATAGCAAACATACCCAGCACCTAGATCTTTGCCTTGAAGTATTTACTGTATTTGCAGTAAGTATTTACTGCCCCTGAGAAACTCTAGGGTTCCTCATGGAAGTGGCCAATTCTGGGTCTAGGACAACTTGTTATGATAGAAGGTGGGAAAATCTTCAAAAAGACAACAGGGCAGGTCTCGAGGACACCAGAGCCCAAGCAGCAGTTCCCACTGGCCAAATCTAGAATAATTTGAGGACCAAAATGTTAACTAATTATTTGTATTTATTGTAAGGAATTGTTAGTATATTTTTATGGAATTATAATAACGGATTAAATCACTTAAAAATCCTACCTCAAAATTAGTTATAAATAGATAAATGGGAAGAAGGAAAGTTCCTTGCTTACAGTAGAATGCCAGAGGCTGACTGGAGGGATGCTGGAATTGGAAAATCATTTGCAGCCATCATGGTAGGATCAGATTAAAGATGATTAGGCACAAATCATCAATGGATACTAAATTAGCAGCAATTTTTTGATGAAGAACAGGATATTTGCATTATCTTAAAGTGTATCTGTACAAGGCTGCTCATTAGTTTAAAAAGCAGAAAAGGTAATTATACATGGGAGAATTCAGGCAACACTTACACTAGTATTCCTGAGGGACAGATGGACATTATGTACCTCCTGATACTGTACCCAGAGGAGGACACAGTGTTACTTATGCAGTGTTCTAATTATGAGGAAACATCAGGGACACAAAATGAGGACATTCTAACAAAATGTAGGAATAGGACTGTGTTCTTTAAAAATACCAATATCATAAAAGATAAAGAATGGCTTTGGAAAATATTCCAGATTAAAGGAGGCTAAAGATAGCTAAATACAGTATCCCATGCTAGGCTGTATCCTGTAATGGATGAGGGAAACTGCAATAAAGGACTGACTGGATTGAAATGTGAATGGCAAACTGTATAAAATATTGCATCAAAGTAAAGTTATGAAATCAATAAGTATGTTATGATTATTTCTAATTTTAGGAAATATAAAATGAAGTATATAAGGGTAAAAGACCATGATATATGCAGTATATCCTCAAATGTTTCCCAGAAATGTTCATGTGTGTTATGGAAGCAGAGATACAAATGATAAAGCAATTAACTATAATGCTAATAATAGGTGAATCTAGATAAAGAATATATGTGTGATGTTTGTGCTGCTTTTTATTTTGCAACATTTTATGCATTTGAAGTTATTTTTAAATAAAAAGGTACAAAAGGGAAGTACAAAGAAAAGTTTTCCCTCCCCTGGAGAGTCTAGTCCAGTGGATCTGAGATGAACCTGTGGATTTATATTTTAAGAGTTGCCCCGGTGATGCCATCAGGGAGTTTTGGGAAGCACTGCTTAAGGCATTTTGAAGGACAAAAGAGGTGTGTAATAAGTGAGAAGTGGGCAAAAATTATTATTTCTTTAAAAGGAGATTAAAATTCATCTAACATGAAGTCAATGTTAGGCAACATACTAAAGTAAATTATTTAAAAGTATACATTTCCACAAAGATGGGGGTGGACCTCATGAAAATTAAAGGGAGCTCTAGAGGAAAAAGGGACCAAGGGTAGAAGTGGGGAGGGAAGAGAGGGAGTGCTGGGGAGTGATATTGGCCAAATTATATTATTATGTTGTGTACATGTGCAGATACGTAACAACAAATTCCATCAAAATGTACAGCTAGGGGCTGGGGTTGTTGCTCAGTGCTAGAACTCTTGCCTAGCATGTGAGGCACTGGGTTCAATCCTTAGCACCACATAAAAACAAGTAAATAAAAGAGGTATTGTGTTCATATACAACTAAAAAAAGTATTTAAAAAAATGTACAACTATAATGCACCAATAAAACAATAAGAACAAAAGTGGTAGAATATTTCTGGGTTCAATCTCCAATACTGAGGGGGGGGGGGCAGAAACCAGGGGCAGGAGATGTAGCTTAGTATTAGAGCATGTGCCTAGCATGTACAAGGCCTGGAATCAACCCCAGCACCACCCCAAAAAAAAAAGAAAAATGTTGTCACTTCTAAAGGAATTTATTTTATCTAAGCATTAGGTCTTTCTGCACCTCCATCATATAGATTGTAAATCAGGAAAATTACAAAATTTTAAGGATTATTGATATTCTTATAAAAGCCAAATCCAAAGAATTACATGATAGCTGTAATGTAATTCAAACAGCCCTATGGTTTCATATCTCACTGCATACCTCTGAAACTACATTAACCAGACATACAGTCCAAGTCTTTTGAGGGTCTTTATGTGCATTTTACACTGAAATAGTTACTGAAGTGTCATCCCTATGCTAGCAGCATCAGCACCTTGTGGGGACTATTACAAAAGCAAATTCCCAGACCCATCTCAGAACTTCTGAATCAGGAACTCTGGGGTGGAGCCTAGCAATCTGTGTTGACCAAGCCCTCCCGGTAATTCTAATGCATGTTGAAAAGTGGAAAACGATAGCACAAAATCATAGAAGTAAAACTCGTGCATTCCTCCTTAGAAGAAATGCATCTTATAATCCTTCCACATTCTACCACCTCATCTTATTCTGCTCTTTCTTCATTGACTGGATATATTTCAGCAGACATGATATGTGGTTTCAATAGTTTTAACTAGATGTCAGTAATATGTTATAGAGTTCTGAGATATCAACAAAGAGTACTTCATGCCTTCATTCCTGTCATTTTTATCCCTGCACAATCATAAAATGCTCAAATGATTTACATTTATATCAGCAGGTAAAGAATGAATGTTCAATAAAATTTGATGGAGGATATTTGTCTCTTGATATAATAACAAGATTGAAAGTAGATGCAGCAAATACTAATCTTTGTATCAGAGTAGCAATCGACATACTAAGATATACTGATATGAGAAATAGAACATCAAGCAGAATATAATCAAAGAGAAGTAAATCATGATAGGAAGATGAGAAAACTGCCTTAAAACCAAGTCAGGCCCCAGTATAGGTCTGAGTAACAAAAGAACCTTATTCAAAATCTTATGGATGGGCTGGGGATGTGGCTCAAGCGGTAGCGTGCTCGCCTGGCATGCGTGCGGCCTGGGTTCAATCCTCAGCACCACATACAAAGATGATGTGTCCTCCAAAAACGAAAAAATAAACATCAAAATCTTATGGAATATTTCAGTAATACTTGTTGATGCTTAATTTCATATAAAGCAGTTTTACAAAGAAAAATTAAAAGATACTTTCTACTTATAAACCTCTAAATTTAAAAAAAAAACCCTGCTTTTTAACCATAAAAATCAACTTTTTACTCATTTAATAAATATCACCAATATAATGAAGATTTTAGAATATCAAGTATATTAGTATATCACTTATAAACTTACATACTCATTTTCTAAAATTTAGTATGACTAAAAATCACAAAGCACAAAAATTTGGAATTGCATATATATAATAAGTTGCAATGAGGAAGAAATTTCCAGGGGCCTTTGGAAACCTAACTGGAATCTTCATGGAACTTTTTAATCTGTAGAACTGCTGCCTCCTATAGTTGATTTAATGACATAATGGATCTTTGTGGATAATATCTGCATATATATTCTGTAGTGATGATTAGGACTGAATATTACATATATCTTCATTCCTGCAAGGTTGTAAGTCAACTGAGTTAATTCTAATAATCTAAGTATATTAGGTCAGTATTATTTGTTTCTCTTTATATATTTTAGCTTAGAAGTAAAGCTTATAATACTCAGTGATAACTCTAATATATTTTCTTATTTCACACAGCTAGTTAAAGGCCTTCAGCAAGAGCTGAATCGATTATATTCCCTTTTCTGTTCTCGGAATCCAGACTTTGAAGAAAAAGGGGGTAAAGTCTCAATAGTGTCCCACTCCTTGGGATGTGTAATCACTTACGACATAATGACTGGCTGGAATCCAGTTCGACTCTATGAACAGTTGCTACAGAAGGAAGAAGAATTGCCTGATGAACGGTGGATGAGCTATGAAGAAAGACATCTTCTTGATGAACTCTATATAACAAAACGACGGTAAAATAGCCTCATCCATTGAAAGAATTTTTAATGTCTGTATGGAATTACTAGACCTCCTAGAAGAAAACTTCAGAATTTCCATGAAAAGAAATTATACATTGTTTAGGATACAAAGATTACTAGATAACATCCCTAATCAAGCTAGAGACTGTTAATTTTCATGTTAATTATATGTATTTTCCTATAGCATTAAATAGTTTTGGAATCCTCCTGATTTTCCTTCCATCTTTCCTCACAAGTTACTAGGAGTTAAATCTAAAACTGATCCCAGCCTGAGTCTGTGCATAAGAACCCTTATTAAAGATCTTCACTGGTTTGTAGATTGTAGTTTTAGTGGTCTATATAGGCAGATCTCTACCTTTTTTCTTATTGTTCTGGAAACAATTTTAAAACACTTTTTCTTGGAAAGATGTTTTTAAATATGTTATATAAACATAATTGTATATATTATATAATTATAAACAGATGTTATTTAATCATTTGTGGCCTTCCTGATACTATCTTTTAATTCTTTGCTGCATTCTCTCTAGTTAATAACCCATCTTCTTTGTTCTCTTGATGACTACATTCATCTGATACATTCTGATAAAACAATGAAAAACCATTCATTTTGATAGTATTATATAAAGACAGCTGAGTTAATTGACTATAATTTTATTCAGGAAGCTTTTTTATATTTTAGTCTTAGGGAAGGTATCCAAGAATTTCCTTTAAGATCTTATTAAGAAACAGAGGATAGACAAGTAAATATTTTAGTATCAAAGTAATTGATAGTTTTGAAAGAAAATGTCATATCTGACAAGACTCAGCTTTTTGTTTGCATTCCCCGATACTGGGGAATCAAACCCAGAACCTCACACATGCTAGACAATTGCTGTACCACTGAGCTATACCCCAACCCCTACAGCAGCATTTTAGGTGAATAAGTCCAATTAAATTTTGTTGAAAAACAGGCAGAAAATTAACTATAGTTTATTTTATTTTTTGGTGGGGGGTAACTTAGTTCCATGGTTTATTAAGTATAAGTTAGTAGGGAAATTGAAATGAGAAAAAGATGAAATAACCCAAATATTCATCAACAGAGAAGGGTCAAACTGTGATTTGTCATATGATGTTATAAAAATTGAAGTAGGACAGGAAGCAATGAAATGAAAAGAACTCTTAAGATTCATTTAGGAAAGGACATTTTAAAAAGAAAAGATAATGGACAAATGAGTATTAACCATATGGTGTAATTTTTTTAAAGATATGTATGTGCATATATATATATATATATATATATATATAATGTCTGATATTTTACTAAAAAAAATTACTATAAAAATAAAGATGGATTGGGTTTGTAACTCAATGATAGCATTTGCCTAACAGGCCCTGGATTCAATCCCCAGCATGGTGGGGGTGGGAGAATTTAATAGCAGGTGTCAAGTGAAGTGGTGTTTTTATCTTTATTTTATTTATTTTTTTCTTTGATATGATGCTGAGGATCGAACCCACTGCCTCACACATGCTAGGCAAGTACACTGAGCCCCAACCCCAGCCTATGAGAAGAGTTTTGAGTCATTGTTTTTATAAAATATTGTCAACAGGAATTATTGTTAGGGATTGATAAAGTGTCATCATTTGCTTCTTTATAGACATTTTAATAAGTGTCTAATGAGATGCTAACCCTTAATGATACATTATAAGTGTGTTTGTGTGTATAATCTCATGCCACTTCCTAGGCTGAGGGAAATAGAAGAACGGCTGCATGAATTGAAGGCATCGTCCATAACACAAACACCTGCCTTAAAATTTAAGGTAAGGAAAAAGTGATCAGTTTTTTATTATCTTGATATTTTTTAAACATTTAAATATGACTATGATGCAAATGAATGTTTAATCATGAATGTTATTGAACACATTTTCTGAGATGGATACTGTCAGTTTATGGGTTTTACAAAGAAAAGAATGGACAAGATAGTTCTTCAGCCTTCAGGGTATAACAAAGTATTATTATTATTATTATGGTTCTTCAGCCCTCAGGATATAACAAAGTATTATTAGTGTATTAGTGTCATCAACAGTATACAAAATGATACATATACAGGAGAGGGAAGTTTTAATATTGCTTGGAGAGACACAAATGTCTAGCGCACTACATTACATCTTCTTTCTCATATCACAAAGGAATGATATTTATATTTAATCTCTGAGTAGATTAGATTTGACCAAGTGAAAAAAAAATCAGAGATGCTATTCTGCATAAAAGGAACAGTATAAACAAAAGTGTGGAGGGATATAACTTGATAGTACCTCAAGAAACACCAAATAATATAGAGTAGCACGGAATAAAAATAGAGATCTAGGAAATATAAATATTTACTATTTAGAATTAACAAATCTTAATGACCAACTAATGGTCAGTGGTGAGAAAAAATAAGTGGAAGTATAAAAGCAGTGATCCAGGAATGGAAAGCTGGAACTTCAATCAATGAAGAGTATATGACAAGAGCCCAAGACACAGATTCACAGGATTGGTTTGGCTGAAATTCTCAGGACTTAGCAAGGGGACTATAAGCAAGCAGGAATAGCTAGAAATAAGAAATTTATGTCTGAGATGGGCAGTGGGAACCATTTCAGAGTTTTTGAACATCAGAATGACCTGTAAGAAGCTGGGGCTCAGGAAAATATAAGATAGCAGAGAGATGTTGGCATTGACAGGTCTGTTGGGAAAGATACACCCTGTAGCTAAACAACAAACAGCTGTTTGTAGTAGTAAGTGGAGGATGCTATGAATTTCCTAGGACTTGCTTCCTTTTGAATATATGTTCATGTCTAGTGTATTACATTACCTCTTCTTTCTCATATTCCAAGAATTTAAAATACAAGTTTAACGTGTGGAGTAATGCAGAAAATTTTCTTAAATGGATTTATTGACTCTATTGATTTACAAAGTTTTTTTTTTAATACATTAGAAGATCATATGGTAGGGCTGGGATTGTAGCACAGTGGTAGAGTGCTTCCTTAGCATGTGCGAGGCACTGGGTTCAATCCTCAGCATTACATAAAAATAAATAAAATAAAGGTCAACAACAACTAAAAAAATTTTTTTAAAGAATCATATGGTAAACTTGTAACATTCATTTAAAGAGCACAGTCTTTGGAATTACCTAAACCTAGAATTTATCATTATATAATTAATAAATTATCATTATATAATTAATGCTAACTGTATAAAATTGATCTGGTAGAAAAAGTACACTCTTCTATTTTATGTTCTGGGTGTTTACAAGTTGGGTATGATCCATTAAATGTGTAAGGATCTCAGAATTCAATACCACATTACTAGAATACATATACTATAATTGAATATCTTTCTGAAACATAGTCATATATAGTCTTAATATGGGTTTTTAGTTGTTATTTAATTAGAGAAATGATACAGAAACTGAATTTAGAAATAAATATCTAATGTATTGGCAAATGACATTTGCCAGTTTAAGAGTCCAGGAACTTAAAGGGAGCAGAAGTTTTCATGCCTATAGTCAGGAGATGGATTTACTTTCAGAATACTGTTGTTAGTTCTGTCACAGTTGACCTCTGAACTTAAAAGAGAAGAATATTAACAAGCATCAGTGTAGAGAATGAAAACTTTGTTCTGGCCATTGGGTGTTCCCCTAACTAGAGAAATCATTTAACATTCCTGAATTTATCTTTTTGTTCATCCCTGAACAAAGGTGTTAAACCAAATGTGTAAAACTCTTTTTTACTCTTAAAATTTTTGATGGCTAACAGATATCACTAAAGCTGTTATACCCTTTTATGAGAGAATGACCCCTTTGTTTATCAAACTGCAATCTCATCATTATCAAAAGAATAAGTTGTTTATTCTAGGTATAACAGTTGAGCAAGCATTTATGAAATGTCTGACAGATATGTGAAGCAGTTTGATAAGTAGAGCATACGTGTGCATATGTGTAATCACTATATACATCAAGCAGAAAGAATTTACATGACTTTCTCTTGTGCGACTATTTTTTGTATCTTTTTTGATACTACTTTTCTCAAGTTTTAGAAGAAATGAATGTTATTCCATTCAAAACTTAGTATTATCCTCTGTGACTCTATTACTTAAAATGCTTTTTCTTTGGGCTGGGCATGTAGCTTAGTGGTAGAGCACTTGCCTAGCATGTGTGAGGCCCTGGGTTCAATCCCCAGTGTCACAAAATAAAATAGAAGGCTTTATTTTTAATTTTTATCTACATAAGTAATTTTTATCAACCTTCAAACTTGTTGAAAATCATCCTTTAAAAAATATGTATGTATATGTAAATTTTTTGATGGGGGTGAGAGAAAAATCATTCCAGAGTCTGTTGAGAAGGATTAAAGGTGTATAAAATTAGAGGCAAGGCCTCTGTCACAATATAGTTCAGATGACAGGTGATGAGGTGGAATGTTCGGGTTAGAATCTGTTAGAGTGACTTATTGAATTTGGGAGTGAGAGGGAAGGATGAATGTGGGATCTTACTCATCAAGACAGGACATATGAGAGTTTAGGTGGATTTGGGCAGGAAAGATGTTATATTCTCTATATTACCCAGTGCTGTTGGCCACCCAGATTTCCTTGAAACCCTCACTTCCCTTGTCTTCCATGATCCCACTTTACCACCCTGTCCCTTTCTTCTTTTTCCTATCTCTTTTGTAGCTTCCCTTCCACCTGCCAATTAAATGTAGATACACGTTCTACATATAACCCTTTTCTTATTCTTTGCACTTCCTAGGCAAGCTTACTGTTATTTTAGTTTTTACATGCTGCTTCTATGATGGTGATACATAGACTCGGATAACACATCTTCTGTATCTCTTACCCCAAAATTTTAACTACATATTACATGTTACAGATACCTCAAACTTATTGTGAACAGAAATGGAATTTACCTGGAGATTTCTATTACAATTAATGGAACCATTGTCCTCTCAGTCAGGCAGACCAAAATCTTGTGAATTGTCTGTCGCCATTCCTGATCCCCATCTCCATTCCATAATGTTATCTCACTCTGTCCTCATATTTCCATTTATGAATGGAACAGCTTGTCCTGCCTTATTTAAGATAATCTCTTGCCTCAACCTTTTCAGTATATTTCTCAAAGTCAGTAATCTCTCAATTTTTTAATTCATCCATACACTACTATCAGGTTTATCTTCTTTTTTTTTTAATATTTATTTTTTAGTTTTCGGTGGACACAACATCTTTATTTTATTTTTATGTGGTGCTGAGGATCGAACCCAGCGACCTGCGCATGCCAGGCGAGCGTGTCACCGCTTGAGCCACATCCCCAGCCCCTCAGGTTTATCTTCTAATCAGACAAATCCTTTTCTTCACTACCTGTAAAATTAAGCCTGACTTCCTTTTTTTTTTTTTTTTAGCTCAATTTTCTTAATCTAACAATGACCTGAGCATTATCATCCTTACCTGCATTTGTTCCATACATAATTTTTCAGTCATTTAATAGAATATCTATTTCTATTCTCAAAAATAAGGACTTCCCCTTCCTCTTTAGTTCATGTGCATCTGTCATTCTTTTCAGCTCCAGTGTCCCAACCTCATCTGTAGAAATTCTTTTCATTTTTACTGTTTACTGCAAATACTGCCTGTCTCTTAGAGCCTTAAGAGTTAGAATTAATAATTCCTTTCTTCACTCTTTTATGGCACTCTTTCCACTTGTTAAGCCCTTATTTTATTCTTCATAGGATTGCAAACTCAGAAGAACCTCTTACTAGTCCTTTAGATCTTGACCCATTCACAATACCTAGCATATTCATACAAAGTAGTAGCTCAGCAAATCTTTGAGTATAATGAAACACAATGAAATGGTCTTCTTTCTCCTTAGTTTTCTTCTAATTATATTTTGGCTTTTGTAAGATTTGAAAATAATGAAATCCTTCCTGAAACAGATTGTTTTAGAGTGATAAATGGTTGACATATAATTAATAAGTAATTCAGATACCATTTGAACAAAGCTTTTTAAAAACAAATATACTTAGAGATAATTTTGTTATTTATGTTTCACTATTTAACATGTTATGTCCAAATTCTGTTGAAAAATAACAATCATTTTTAAAATTTAGGATGCCTTATTCATTTTAGGTTGAGAATTTCTTCTGTATGGGATCCCCACTAGCTGTTTTTTTGGCATTGCGTGGCATCCGCCCAGGAAACACTGGAAGTCAAGACCATATTTTACCTAGAGAGATTTGTAATCGGTTGCTAAATATTTTCCATCCTACAGATCCAGTGGTGAGTTATAATGTACATTTTTTTTCTCAATACTAAATTATTCCTTAAACAAAATCTATAGAAAACCTTGCCCCAGGTATCACTGAATTTACAAAAAGAGTTTATCTGATTTATTGCAAAAATTTATATTCTTTGTGTCTTGGTTCATTTAGAGCTCATGAAATAAAATGCTTCAGAAATCGTCTGTTTATGTTGTAATATAAGGACATAATGTTGCCCCTGGCCAATTAATACAAGAGATAAGGGTCTACCAGACTTTCAAACCTTAAACATATTGTGTTATCAATAATTAGGAACGAGAAATCTTAAAAATCCTGATTTTTAAATACCTTTTTCTCCTACACATGTTCCAATATTAGAAGGTTTTATAGATCCCCTTAAAAATAAAAATATTCAGATATTAAATATGAAAAAGTGAAACTATTTTAGCCTAATAGAAATGTTGGATTTTTTCCATTCTCCATTTTATTTGTGTTGTAAATAATGATTTTTAATGTATGCACATTCCAAGGATCTTGCATCTAGGTAAACTGTGTAATGCCAAATAAGATTTTTTAGACAAGAAAAATACTCTGGGCCAGGGATGTAGTGCATTGGGAGAGTGTGCTTAGCACACAAGAGGCCCTGGTTTCAGTCCTCATCCCAAACAAAACAAAACAAATATGATTCCAAAAGTCCTTTGGGAATGAAGGCTAGGAATAACTAAATAGTAAAACAAACAAAATGGCATTCATTCTCTGAATAGTAGCTTTTGTTATAATTCTGTGAATTCTTTCAAATAACCCTTAGCCAGTACCAACTAATATGCTATTTACTAATACTCAAATATTAGAAAATCTCCCATATACTGCCATATTTAAGAAACAAACTTCACCTGGAATTAAATAACTGGAAATAAACTTCAACTAGATACATCTGGGAGTCTCTGATGTTAGACTCAAATATAGACTACACAATCTTGGCTAAGTCATTTCTGAGCCTGTATCTAATGTATATGATGCAGTTAATAATATTTTACCTTACAGGGTTGTTTTGATTAAGTAAAATGTGTGAAAGTACCCAGCTAGACAATAAGCATTTCATTACTGTATGTTCATCTTACCATTTTTTTATAACGTGAAAATGCATTTGAGTTTATAGCTGAACTGTGAGCCCTTTTCTTAATATGTTAAATTTGTATTTTTTTGTTTGTTTGTTTGTTTGTAGTAGGGCCAGAACCTTTCACATGGTAATAAGCACACTGAGCTATATCCTCATTCCTGTGATCTTTTTTACATTAATATGTTAACTTCTTTTCATTGTTTGTCAGAACTGTGCTAGGCGATTTTTACAAGTATTATCTGTTCTACTTCACATCCCTGTAAGGGGAATGCGATCCTTTCTAATCAGGAAACTAAGGCTCTGAGATCTTGTGACCTAACAAGTATCAGTTAATAAGTAGCAGAGGCCAGAATATAAACTTGGAGGATTCTGATGCTACTACATCCATTGACTTTTCTGCTACATCATCCCAGCTTTACATTGGGCAAATAGTCTTTTTTTTTTTAATATATATAATTTTTAGTTGTAGATGGATACAATGCCTGTATTTTATTTATTTTTATGTGGTGCTGAAGATCTAACCCATTGCCTCACATGTGCTATGCAAGCGCTCTGCCACTGAGCCGCAACCCCAGCCCTGAGCAAATAGTCTTTTGTTGGCATTTAATTTATGCTGTTACTATATTAATCTATTTGAAAATCAAGTTTAATAAGAGATTCTAAAATATATAAAATTGGCCTTATTTGTTGTACTCCGTGTTAGCATTTACTTCATTTTATGAGACTGTCATAAATCTAATTTTTAGATATCAACATAATAAAATTAATCTATACCTCTAAAAAATGAATTAATGAACACTATTATCCTAGACTAAGTCTTATTTTTTTTCATAATCTAATCATTAAGGGTGCATATTAATAACCCGGGCACATATTATTAACAGTGAACAAATAAAAAATACATGTTTGAAATATCTGCTTTTTAAATATCATCTACTTAATGTAAAATAGTATAAAAATATACATTGTCTTAATATTCAGCATTGTGCATTAATGTTGTGTTTCTTTGAACTTTTTTAAAATCAAGGCTTATAGATTAGAACCATTAATATTGAAACACTACAGCAACATTTCACCTGTCCAGATCCACTGGTACAATACTTCAAATCCTCTACCTTATGAGCATATGAAGCCAAGTTTTCTCAACCCAGCAAAAGAACCTACCTCAATTTCAGAGAATGAAGGCATTTCAACCCTACCAAGCCCTGTGACCTCACCAGTCTTATCCCGCCGACACTATGGAGAATCTATAACTAATATAGGCAAAGCAAGCATATTAGGTAATTTCTCTTTTAAGCATTTTTTATTCATGACTATAAGCATATTTTTATAGATATTAAATTTGGGAAACTTGGAAATACTTGGTGTATTCATTAAACTTTCAATAGCTAATCTCCTAGAATTAACTACCCTCCAACTGCCAGTTGAGGACCAAAAGTTCTAAAGTGCACTGATTAGATCAGAGCCTGAAGTTTTATGTGAGATAAGAAGAATGGATACAGAAAAAGCATAGTTCTGAGAATCAATTTCATCATTTTAATCTGGACCATATCACCTACTAGGAGATTTGGAGCAAATTCTATAGTTTTTTATGTTCCACTTCCTCTTCTGTGAAATGTGTTGTAAGAGCCTCCCCTCACCCAGTCCTCTGATCTGTTCTATGTCTCTTGAACTGTGCTTCCTGAGAGCCACAAGGACATTTTGAATGATCTCCAGTACTAGTGCAATGTTTGTATCACTTAATTCTGTGCTTGAATTTGTTCATTGCTTTTGGTTGCAAGCGGCCTTAATACAAAATGCCACAAGATGGCACTAGAAATGAGCTTTGTCTACTAGGCTCATTTGATGTTTCACTTGGTCATAGGCACAGATGGTTTATTAATGGATTTTTATAATATATCTGCTTAACTTCAGTAGTAAGTATATCTGTCAATAGTAAATTGATACCATGTCAATGGCATGGTTCTCTTATTAAAGTTTTTAATCTTGCTAAATATTTCAATAATGGTGATCACTTAAATAAAATAACATCGTTATTCCTTTGTTTATATTCCTATAAGCTGGACTCCTAGAGTTTATACAACTCTCCTTCTTTTTAACACCACTTGTATTTAGAAACCTACAGGATAAATTGTAATTTTCTTATGTCTCCACCCTGGAAAAGCATGACTAGGACTTGGTCCCTCTGCCAGTTGGCTGCAATTATGGGTGGTGCTCTTCAGCTTAGTGTGTGGTATGTTTCAACAAAATGACTACCCTGTTTTGTAAAATGCAGGAGCTGCTAGCATTGGAAAGGGGCTTGGAGGAATGCTGTTCTCAAGATTTGGACGTTCATCTGCATCCCAGCCATCGGAGACATCAAAAGACTCAATGGAAGATGAGAAGAAATCAGTTCCTTCTCCTTCTACTACCACCGTGGCAACCCAGACCCTTCCACATAGCAGTTCTGGCTTTCTTGATTCTGCATGTTAGTTCATATAGTTCTTCCATTGAGTTTATACTGCTGTCTTTTTAAAACTTGAGAAGAGCAGGACATTTTAAGATATTAGCACTAGCTCAGATCTAAAGCATACCTTAACTTAAAAAAAAAAATACTTTCCTCCTCCTTATATTTTTAAGGTTACTTTCCATGTAAATGCAGTTTCTGTTTCTGCATTGGTAAATTGATAGTTAGATCATTAATAATCAGGGCGTTGTGGTACAAGGCTCTAAAATATCAAGTATAAACAAATCTCTTTGGGGTAAGTACCCCTGATTTTTATAAAGTTGATTTTTATAAATATGGTCTTCTCAGTCTTAAAAATTGCTTCAAATCTATGATGTATCTGGTCTGAAACTTTTTAAAACTGCTCTGCCGGAGCCATCCTCCTGCTAATTCCACGTTCCCCTCATCTAGCCTAATTATGAGACCTTCAAAGCTTAGAATTTTTATTAGTTCCACTGTATGGCTTCCAGTCCTGTCCCAGTTGGGCTTAGCATGAGAATAGGACTTTAATTTTTTCTAGTGGACTTATAAAGTTTAAAATCTTGAAAAATTATGACTCACTTATGTACTTAGTATATACTCAACATCCAAAAAATCTGAACTTGAACATTATTTTTAAGTGTTCAGTAAAATAAAACTAATAGTCAAGGCCTTTTTTTCCTTTGAGATGTATAAAAGGAAATGAAGATTCTGGAAAAAAATACACACACACACACACTTATATACATTCTAAAAATGTTCTATAACTATAGAAAGAGGGACAATTGCCTTCTCTAAAAAAATTTTAAACATATTTCAGTTACTTGTATCATTGTGTTCTTTCTGTGTCTGGTGCTCTGAATTTTAAAATTACCAGCATTCATTGCCATCCATAAAACTTGCTTAAAAAGGAAGCAAGTTCAAGTTTAATGGTCTAAAGAGGATGGATATTTCTGCAGCCAGCCCCACGCCAGCGTAAATTGTCAGTAGGGTTGTACATTCCTAACTAGGCAAACAGCATTTTTTTTTTTTTAATTTGTTCTTATTAAGAACTGAAAACATGATTGCAGGTCTTTTGAATCCTTTCTAGAAAATTCTTCTTAAACTTTAGTATTTGTATATAATAGTTAGTTTTCCTGTAAGAGTTTCTATACTATTGCTGATTTCAGTTGTCATTTTTACTTAATATCAAAAATGTGATTGTGAAAACAAAATTTTGTCATGACATGCAGGTGTCAAAAGATCACTCTAACTTCTAAAGAAAATTAATTTCAAAGAATTTTGTGACCTGACAGTTAAATCACAGTTCTTTGTAATGCTATTAAAATACAAGAGTGATGCTAATTAACAGAGTAAATGAGGAAACAAGAAAAGCACACTAGGAGTTGAATCCCAGAAAAACGGTAATGAAAACATGTAATCTATAGGATCCAAAGGAAGGAAACTGCTTCAGTTTGTTGTTTCTCAGGGCTTTTGTTTGGGGTTTTTTTTTTTTGTCTCTATTTAACATATTAATTTCAAGATGATAATAGAGAAACCTTCTACTTCTAGAACATTCCATAAAGATACTTGGCTTAACACATATTCTGCCATTCTTGCATGTAAATTCTTTGCTTGTCCTAATGGTAAATTCCTTGTCTTCTGTTGTCTCAACTAAATCTGAGTTAATCATGAGTCTTAATTACATATATTCATCTCTAGAAGACATGTCACTATTAAAATTGGACAACTACTACCAAAATAGAAGTCTACCTTTTAAATCAGATCCTCAGAATAGGCTTAATTCTTTGACTTGCTTCAATAACATACCGTTTTATGTAATTTTTGACTTAGACAAATTTCTTACATCATAATTGCTGTCTTGGCTTTATCTTGTAAATCAAAAAATAGTTCTTCCTTAATCTTCTTTCTGAAATTTGGTGGTTGTGATTAGGTGATTGCCTCAGTTCTTCTGGATAACCTTTCTTCTGAAGCTACTCTCTCTCTTGTTGTCCTCACTGTTTTAGGGTAAGAAGGCAACAGACTTCGAATTTGTGGTCAGTCAGGGCTTTTGTCTTTGAAGAGTAATGTGGTCAGTTGAATCAGTGTTTCATCAAATTGAAGCATCTTATACATCTATTATATATCTATTCTTTGTTTCTTTTAAAAAGTCTAGGCTTCTTTTCAAAAGATTTGTGGTTTCATTTCTTGTGTCCTTCTGTGTTTGTAAAATAATTATGAAAGGAAAAGATCTGTTTCTTTTAGCATTGCTCTGGGTTGGAGCCTAAATTAGTTGTAAATGTGGGGACCATCTGGGTAATAATAAATTATAAAATTATATTTCAAAGTTAATTATGCTTGCATTTTTCATGAAAAAGCACTTCACAAAAACCAAGGGGTATACTTCCTTATGTACATTATATAGTCAGCTTATTTGGAAGTATTGTTCTAACTTTTGACCACTGCAACATTGAAGGCCATTTTTAACCATTAGCCACATCTTTACAGCATCTTGTGTTTTTTTTTTCACAGATTTCAGACTTCAAGAATCGTTCTTTTATCTCCCACAACTTCTTTTTCCGGAAAATGTAATGCAGAATAAAGATAATACCCTCGGTATGGTATATGACAGGAATAGCACTCAAAACACTATAAAAACGATCTACCTAATCTTCTGTAATGGAAAAATTGGGTCAAATCATCTGAGATCACCTTCATGTTACCACTATAGACTATTTTATATGTATTTCCCTCCCATATTTTCTAATCTTCCTGAAACCTGGGTATTGATTATCTGCTTAATGTGCTAAAGTATATAATATTCTTGTTATACTCCTATAGAAAAGGAACCTTTTAGATAGGTCTGTTTCTTTCTATCCTTCTTCTATGATACTGGGGATTGAACCCAGGGCCTCAGGCATGCTTTATCACTGAGCTACATACCCAGACCTTTTTTATTATTTTTTTGAGACAGGGTCTTGCTAGGTTGCCTAGGATGGCCTCGAACTTGTAATCTCCTGGCTGCAGCTTCCTGAGTAGCTGGGATTACAGATGTGCCACCACACCTGGCTCCTCTTCTTTATTATCCTATCACATCTTAAAAGAGGTTAACTGTGCTTTTCATGTAAATATAAAAAAGATTTCATAATACAAAGAACTTAATCATTCCTAATTATTTCAGGATTCAGTGATTTTTAACACTTAGGGGGTTGTAAATATATTGATATCTAGTTTCAACACAAATATTTGAAATACTTTAAAGAAGTAGATTCACTTTTTAAAATAGTATTATTGGAGGTAAGAGATACTTTCAGCCTCTTTGTAATTTTATTCACATTCTCACACCAAGAACTAATCTTAACAATTTAAAATATTTTTTTTTATTCTCATTCCTTTTTTTGTAGCTTCTCTCTTTCCTGTTTTTAATATTAGATTTTGCCTTTGATTTTAAAAATTACCTTTGTCTTTGGATATTTTAGCTACATTTAATATTACACTCTGCTGATTTTTATAAATTTTTTTAATAGTCAAAAATGGCTTATCAAGTTTTAGTGTAAGAAGCTTTTTTTTGGGGGGGGGCTTCATAGCAATATTTTGTATTGATTAAATTCAATGAATTCCCCTCAAGAAATGATCTTATGTAGGAGATCTCTCTGGTCCTTGCTGATCAAATTAGCCAGTCACTTTAATAAAGAAATAATTTTATTTGTGCCTTTTGCATTTTCAGTTAGAGGAAGGAAAATTAACCTACTCATATATTTGTCCTATATTAAGAAGCCCAAGCAGTTAGATCACTAATCATATCTGCATCAAACAGATTCAGGTGGCAAGATCTATTTGACTTTCATTTTCTCTTTCCTTGTTTTCACTTATCCAATACCTTTATTAAATGTTACCATGAGCCAAGATATCATGGTAATCACTAGAAAAGATACCAAGATGAAACAGACTTACAGACTTTAATACCATAACTATTAAATGCTGTCATAAAAATTTAATATTTTATGAAGAGCATATGTCCTAGTAGGGAAGGTGCTAGTAGGAAGGTATAGATAATTGCATATCTATAACTTGTGGTAGCATGTGATGAGTCACACCTAACAGGCAGAAATGAAAGGAATCTTGTCAATTCTGAGGAATGAGAGCTGCTTTCACCTGGAGAAATTAAAAAAGACTTTGTGAAAGAAGTGTGGTATGGACATGCAGAAATGAAAAGACATTGCAGGAAAAAGAAACAGCAGGGGCAGAACTAGGGCTGTGAAGCATGGGGGATGCGTAGAGAACTATGCATTAGTTTTCTTGAGAAGAGGAAGGGAGTGGAAGGGGGAGTAGTTCTGAATTGAATATGATTAGAAAAGTTTGTTAACCAGCCTATGTAGAGTCTAACAACTCTGGCTATTTCCTAGAGTTTTTAATACTCAAAAAGTGTGCCTATCTGTGGTCATCTATTGAGAATTTGAATGTCTTCCAGAATACTTTTTATTTTGAGAAAAAAAAATTTTGGCAGAGATGACAACTGATTATAAAGCTGATTTTGAAATTTTTGTTAGTATTTTAAAATAAAGAATAGTTGGAAGAACCAATACTTAACAAATTATAAATATTCCTTGCATGTTAAACACTTAACTACATGAAATGTTTAGTTGCTCTGAGGCCACTCAGAAATAAATAACTTGGGATCAAGAACTCTGAACACATAATCTTTCCTTTCTGGGTAATCTTTTACCAGTTATAAAAATGAGAAACTCATTTATATACTTATATAAATGAGTTTATATAACTCATTTATGTACTCCTTATATACCCAACCCTGCTTTGGCCAAGAGCAGGTCACATTGCACATGTAGAGGATGCTGCCATATAGAACTCCACTCCCTTGGGAATTCCCTGATCTACATAAAAGAGAGACAGGCACAGGCCTACCAGTTCCATTCATTTTTCCACACAACCAGCATAGATAACCACACTTATAGGTAGATTGTATGGAGTAAACCTTTTAAGGAGGATGAGGGACTGGAATAGGTTCATGAGGTATATGCTGGCTACTTAAATTCCCATTTTCATCAGTACAACCCAAAGATTAATAGAAAAGGAGGGGGAGCCAATCTATCAGTGACATTGATTAAAGTTCCTATAGGTGGTAAGAATGACAAGGGCACATGGTATAACAGAACAAAAATTAACATTTGAGTGTCTGTGAAAGATAGTGTTATAAGACAGTAGAAACATATTAAAAATAAATTTCAGGGCCACAAAATTAAATAGGAGCCAGAGAACACTTGTAACAGGGAAAATCTCCCTTTTACTTAAAAACAGGAATTCAACTAAAGACTTTGGACTAGAAGCTATGATGCAATGGCATTTGAAAATGAGTTCTTAGTATAACCCAGTATAACCCAGTGGTCCTTACCAATCTTAACACATATGTTTTCCTATCTCTTCTGTTTTCCCTCCTCTTTTTTCTTTGTAACCAGTGTCATCTGGACTTGCCTTCATTATACTTGAGAATTCCAGTTTTCTTCTCTTTTTTCATGTTCCTGACTGTTGTGCTGGAATGTGCCTACGAATGTAATACAAATGTTCATGGAATATATGTTAGAAGGTTAGGACATTCCCACCTCACAAGTCCACGTGGATATCAGCTATTTCTGATTTATAATGGATTAGCTTAATTAAATGAAATAGTCATAATCAAAAAGAACTTTGTAAAAAGCCTAAGTCAATGTATTTTACAAGTATCTTCTAGCCTAATTGGTATTTATACCTCTTAATGTAAACCTTTCCTGAATATGTTCAGATAAATCCATGAACATTTCTTGTTAGAAAAACATAATTGAATAGCAAAATAATAACTATATGACCTTTTAAAAAAACTTTATTTTATTTGTTTTAATTTTTTTTGTTGTAGTAGTTAAACACAATACCTTTATTTTATTTATTATTTTTATGTGGTGCTGAGGATCGAACCCAGCGCACCTCATACATGCTAGGCAAGAGTTCTACCGCTGAGCCACAACCCAAACCCCATGTGTAATCCTTTTTAAACTGCCAAATAATATTCTTACAAAATACCCACTTAAAATAAGCATTAAGTAAGCACTTGCTTCATAGAGTGGTAGGATTTGTGTGTGTGACTACCAAATTCCTAGTATAAAGCAAAACCTAACGTTTTCTCCAGCCTTCTTGATTTTTACTAATTCTTACTTTTGATCATCTTTGGCACTTTGAAGAAAGAGCAGACTTTAAGCAACGTCTGGTTGGTAGTGACTTGATGTTTTTGTTTTATAAGACAGACCCTTCATACCACATGGCTCATGCAGTTTTAAAGGAGTTCCTGAAGATCAAAAAGTCATCTAAATGTTTTCAGTAAGGATTTATCAAATAAGTCCATTGAGATTCTCATAAGAGTCTAGATTTGTTTAAGGGGATTTTTCTTCTAACAGGTATTGTAAGGACCTTATGTAGCTTTTAATAAGAGACTTAATAAATTCATTGAATTTTTTGTGGTGGGGAATACCAGGGATTAAACTCAGGGGTACTCAACCACTGAGCCACATTCCCCAGCCCTGTTTTGATTTTATTTAGAGACAGCATTTCACTGAATTGCTTAGCACCTCTCCCTTGCTAACGCTGGTTTTGAACTTACGATGCTCAGCCTACCAAACCACTGGGATTTCAGGCGTGTGCCACTGCACCAAGCTACTGAATTATTTGAGGATAGCACTATTGTACGCGTAGTCCTTCTCCTAACAATTACCACTGTTCTCCCAGCTTCTCCTGCACAGACACCTAGGGGTTCTAACATTTTAATGAGCACTTGCTGTTTCATGCTGACTGAATGCAGAGTAGGGTGTGTAGTGGTGGCCTTAAGGAAGGAATTCAGTCTAGTAGGGAAAAAACATTTTGACTATGATAAGATGGTTATCTTTGAAGACATAGGCCTCCTATATAAGGAGCCATTGAATGATCTGTTACCCTGCAGTGGGCATTATGCATGCAAGCATGGCCCATAGTTCTTCAAGGGGAGTGTTTTTATTTAACAGATTGGGAACAAAGAATAAAAGGTAATGCCAGAATTTAAGCCCAGTTCCTTTTACTCCAAAAATGTGCCATGGTGCCTAGTGAATTTTTTTTGGCCATCTTCCTTTGTTGTTCCATATTGACTTGCATAAACAGAGGAATAGACTCCACCAAATAGAATCCAGTGCTACTGAAGCTCTTTCAGGTGTTTGTTCCATAAGAATAGAGTAAAAGACTTCTTTTTTAAAAAGGGCAGTTAGAAAAATCATGTTCATTGGCTAAATTTTTACTCTCAACTGTAAAAGTCTATATTGAACTATCTTATTATAATCATTGTTCATTTAACTTCTTTCTTCTTTTTAGTGGAATTGGATCACAGGATCGATTTTGAACTCAGAGAAGGCCTTGTGGAGAGCCGCTATTGGTCAGCTGTCACGTCACACACTGCCTACTGGTCATCCTTGGATGTGGCCCTCTTTCTTTTAACTTTCATGTATAAACACGAGCACGATAATGATGCAAAACCCAATTTAGATCCAATCTGAACTCTTGAAGGACATTAATGATCCAAAACTGATTTTTTTTTCTGTTAAAATATGTGTGTCAAGATATGAAGATTTCAGGGTTAAGTATGTTCCAGTTTTGTTTGGGGCAAGAAATATTTGAATTTAAAAGCACTTTATTTAAAAAAAAAAAAAAAAACACATTTTCAGTTCTAAAGAAGTTACTTACAGTTCCATTATTTCGATTATGAATCTGACAGAACTCCCTGCAGAGAATCAAGTAAGACCTGGAAGTGAGGAAGGTTTGGGTGAACTGCATGTAAAGGTTACAAATTACAATCTAATTTCACCAAAATATAAAATCATATTAATGGGTTGAATCTAATGTATTAACCAAAATATGTTATAAGTCTAAAATGTTCAAGGTTCAATGTAGTCTGTAAAGATTACAGTGTGGTATATCATTGTTTTAAATTTTATGAAATCTTCCATTTTCACAATTCCTTTGAAAGAAGAGAAACTAATGCTAAAAAACAATATTTTAGTTGAACTAAAAAGAACAATATTTGAACTACTATATTTATAATTTATGACCTCTGACTAATTGCTTTATTTCAGTGTATGAAACATTACATTTTTTAATGTTTCCTTTGAATTAATTTAAGAACCACATTTAGTTTCTATAGTGTTAAGACCCTTTTTTCTCAGAATTCCATCTTTGTACTCTTCAGATGAACATATAGACACTGTGGTATACTTTCGATATTTTTTTCATTAAAAACTTGTGTTTCATACAACACTAGTTCAGTTTTTCTTTAAGTGAACTTTTTATTATGTCCCATATATCTCAAAGAAAGTAAAATTTTTCTAAACTTGGCAGTACTCCATATTGGGTACATTTCATTAACTTTATTAGAAAACCATTAGACATCTTTGGAATAAGGAATATGAAAACAAAAAAAATGTATAAACATTTATGTGCCAAATATTAACATAGATGAAGGGATCTAGGGCTACTAACAAATTTTTAAAGTATTAAAACAGAGTAGGCACAATGAATCAAGACACTGAGGCCCTAAAAGGGTTTTTCTCAGCCGTGATTGTTTCCACAGTGCTTTTCATCTGGGGAGCTCAAAGGGCTTTAAGAGATGTGCATTCAGCAATGTGGGTAGTTGCTCCTCCAGGTAAGTAAATGAGCATTGTTTTCATGTTACCTGTTACTACACCAAGGCACCAAAACGTTTAAAGTGCCTTGCATTAGATTACATAGCAAATCAGGACTTGGATGAAGGCAGACCATATTATTTTACATGCTGTTTAAAATTCACATGTGACCTGTTAGTTTGCAGACAATAGCAGAAGTTGAAGAAATGACTGTGTAACCAATATATTACCCTGCATATCCATTCTTGGGTCTTCACACACAAAGAAGTTTTTTTAAAAGAGCGGATAGTAGCCATCTCTGCCACAGCCAACCCTCACTTCTGAGTGCTTCCACTAGGTTCCACTCAAGGTGCTGTTTTTATTTATCTTGCAAGGAATTTCTTAGCTTCCCAGCAGTCACTGTTGGGGGGTAGGGGTAGTGGAGTCCGTCAGTCTCACATCCCACCTCCTCTCTTTATAGGTTAGTAGAACCTCTGGTTTATTCAGAGGCTTTATTCCACACCATCAGTACTATTGGCTGTTTTGGCCTTACATTGAATTTGCACAATATGAAGCACTTCTTTTTAATATTTAAAAAAGTCTGAAGGCTCCATGACCAAGTTCATGACTCAGTAAGAAGCCCTTGCTATAAAAGGCTTTTGATGGTATCTTAGCAAAACTGAAGCAATCCCCTTTTAATTCAGAGTTACCTATGAACTCAGGTCATTTTCATAGCCTGTTTATTTTTTAGGTCTAATTTAGTTCTCAGGAAAATTAAACCCATGTCATATGACTGTCTTTAAAGGTACTTGAACATATGTTGCTGTATTTGGTTTGACACTTAAATGCCCAAGAGCTTTAGGGGTTCCTTCTTAACCACTGCAATGTGAAGAGCCTTTTTTTACCTTAAAAGAGTAAGATTCCATCACACATTTTAATTTGATATTGAGAAGAAAAATAAGTTACCATAACTGAAGGAATATGTCCACTTTCTTTACTTCATATTGGAAAACAGTCAAATTTTACCACTCAGAGTTTACTTGAATTCTTGGAAAGAACAACATTCAAAACCTTCTTTTCAAAATAGATATCCTGGACCACTGGGCAGGTGTTTGTTTCCAATTATTTCCTCGATGAGAGATGGTGATTTTAGTTTTATCGTATTCTTGTTTTCATGTCTCTGCATGTTTATCATGGGATGTACTTGTATATACTCAAGTGATATACAGAGTATGTGTAATTCTGGCTTGATATAGAAGCTAAGTCCGTTACTGAGTAACATTTTGCAACTTTATTCCAGCAAGTACTAAATTGGCCAAAAAAAGTCCTGTTTTTGATACTATTAAAATTTTATTCTCTATTTTGCGTATATGCTATGGTTCTCTTGAGTACTGATCAGATTATTCAACTTTAATCCAAAGAGTAGTTGGAAATTAGAATAAGGAGAATGTTTTGGAATAAATCTTACTTTATTTTACCTTTAAAATTAGCCTTTCTAAGCCTTTTGCTGGTTCATAACTATCTTCAGCAATAATTTTGCTTATAATTCAATATTAACTGTATTTTAGAACATAATCATAAAATAATACTGGATATTCCAATAACAAGTCCTTTATATGTGAAGCAAGGTTTTTAGGAACCTATGTTTTACTTCTACTAAATTGTCCAATTGGTTTTTTACTCACACAAAAGGCCTCAAGACACAAAAACTTTGATCAATCCTTCTCTCTTCCTCCTTCCCCCCTGCCTCCTCCCTCCTTCTTCCTTCCCCTTTCTCCCTCCCTCCTTCCTTCCCCCCTTTCCCCCTCCGCCTCCCTCTCCTCTCTCATCCTCATTGGATGAGAGCATTCTGGCCTATAAGATATGTAACACATCACATCCCAGTTTTGCATCCCCCAAGAGTCAGAAGGTGCAGGGTCACAGCCCAGGCCACTTGTCAGCTACCTGAGCCCCTTTAAGAGGCTTTAAGTGGAGTCAGACCAAACAATGGAATCTTATGTAAGGTCTAGAGTAGAGTCATTTAATTTCTTTCTTTTTTTTTTTAAAGAGAGAGAGGGAGACAGAGAATTTTTATTTATTTTTTTAAGCTTTCGGCAGACACAACATCTTTGTATGTGGTGCTGAGGATCGAACCCGGGCCACACGCATACGAGGCGAGCACGCTACCGCTTGAGCCACATCCCCAGCCCGTCATTTAATTTCTTTATAAAAGAGTTATAGAGTTTTGTCTCCTCAGTTACTAATGAATAAGACTTTTGGAAACTTGAGAAAGCCCACTCTAGTCCATATCCTTAAAATTGCTTTTTAATGATCTTTCAGTGTTTTGAAAATGGGACTAAAGAAGAAAGGAGATGTTAAGGAAAGGTCAAGGTAGAGCTAAAAGAGAATATAGCAATCATATACTGAAAAAAGAGAAACTAGAATCTTTCTAAACAGTGTTGGACCGTTGACTTCTGTGGTTATTCTGAAGTTTTCTATCTCTTCCATATTTTTCTGTCTTTCCTGAGTCTCATGCCTCTGCCAGGAATCTGACAGTACTCTGCCTGATTTGAAACACATGAATTTCATCTCGAAGTTCTCATATTTAGTAAACGTTGGTACTGGGATGGTGACAATCTAGGTTTATACACCCTATATTAATCTACCGTGAATGCTTGTGAATATTTTCAGAGTTTATGGATTTCAGAGTTCTAGTCCAAACATGTTTTAGTTTCATAGAAGCCATTTAAATATCAGTAAAGGTCCTGATGAGGAGTAAAGTGAAGCTGCAGACTCAAAGACCAAGTCCATGGTGATAAGAGGGAAGTGGTAGAGTGTCTAAGGGAAAATACTAACCAGGGTAGAGTTTACAGCTAGAAGGTTGTTTAATCATTTTCCAAAGCATGCTATGCAAATGTTAACAGTGTGTCAGAAAATAAGTCTGGGAAAGCCAAATTTAAAGGTTCCTGTAGAGAGGACTTTGGGAGCCTCTACTAAACTAAATGCATTACAAGTCTACCTGACATTGCTTGGAAAATTCCAAACTTATTTAACCAAAAACTCTCTTTATTTGGAATATCCTTAGAGAAATACTGATGACATTAAATGCCTTTGTTTTACAGTTTCATCCCCTCACATAATGCCTTCCTCTTACAAGTCAGTGCTCCTGCCCTACACAACCTCATTCTAAACCAGTGACAGTCAGAACTAGTGCCTGATTACCAAGCTGTGTTTTATACCAGACTACCTGTTTCCCCTAATAAGGAATTCCTAAAGGGCAGAAGCTGCCTCTCATAGTTTGTTGTCCCATCTATCTTATCTCACACACAGACCTCTTGCATAACCTGATGTTTTGCTTGCAACGAACTATTAGTAAAAATGTCTGTAGACTTCAGTTTTCCAGTTGGCCTCCCTTGTTCCTCCCAGGCCCTCATGAAAGAGTCCTGCAAGGTAACTACAAACTTAATGTCTCACATTCAGAACACCCGGGAAGGAAAAAAAAGAAATGCAAAACAAAAAGGATATAACAAAATATCCAGGAAAGATTTTATTAGTTTTCCATTTCAATGACAATGCAAATTTAGTGTTAAATAATGTTTAAGAGTTGCAGTGTTAAATAATGTTTCTATCCCTTTCATTCCTTCCCATAGTGTTTACATGTTGATTATCAATCATGACACTCCTAAAATTTCCAACATAATCTGGGCACTGTGGTGCACTCCTGTAATCCCAGCAATTTGGGAGGCTGAGGCGGGAGGATTTCAAGTTCCAGGTCAGCCTGCCAACTTAGATCTTATCTCAGAATAAAAATAATGATAATAAAAAAGGTTGAGGATATAGTTTAATGGTGGAGCACCCCTTGGTTTAATCCTTAGTACCACCAAAAATGAGACTGTTACAACATAGTTTAACTCATGGAAATATAAAAATTTAGGTGCTGTACTTTTTGGAGACTAGAAGAGCTTTTGCTAATCTCTGTGTATGTGTGGTGTGTGTGTGTGTGTGTGTTCCCACTAATAGTTCTTGGCAGACTGTTAGCATGAACTCTTCCTCTGCCTTTGTGTTTGAATAGGGGTGGGTACATGCTCAGTATTGTGTGTCACCTTATGGTTTTTCATTTATAGGTAACAGAGTGCAGCTTACTTCCTCCCCACCCTACAGTACTCAGGATATGTTGGGAAATATTCCTTAGAAAGATTATATCTGTCCTTCTGGTTGGAGTACGATGGAAAAAAATGTATTCATCTCTGGGTGTCCATGGGAATTGTTTCCAAGACCCCATGCAGATATCAAAATCTGCAGTTGCTGTAGTTCCTTATATAAAACGGCATAGTTTTTGCATATATCTTATGCTTGTGCATCTCTAAATTACTTTTAATTTCTAAAGTAATATAAATGCTGTATGAACAGCTCTTATACTGTATTATGTAGGGAATAATAAACAAAAACAGTCTACTCACGTTCAGTACAGATGCATTTTTTTCCTGATGTTTTTGATCCTTGGTTGTTAAATACATGCATGCAGAACCCAAGGATAGGGAATACTAATACACTGCCTTTAATGCTCTCCTGGAGCACATCAGATATCAAAGATCATCCCTAAAACCTCTTAACATTCATACCCTTTTTTTCTCTGCTTGATCTCTAAAAATATTTGATTCCCTGTGAGTTTTATGAAAGAAATTTGCTGTTCCTGAGGTTGTCATAATAAATCCATACTCTGCCAGTAAAGTCTAGGAAGGTTTTTGCTTTTTGCTCAGATAGTATTTCTCAGAAAGAGCACTATTACTCTCCTGAGACTTGTTTTCCCTTTCTTTGAACTCCTATGACCTCTTATACTCACTAGTTATCAGATCTAAATGCTCCTCAGTGACTGCAGTAATAACTCTCAGAAGGTGACCTTTTTCCTTTTGTTATCCCTACTTCTCCCCTCCTCCCAGTAGTGGAGATTGAACCCAGGGGGCTTAATTTTGAAAGAGGGTCTCATTAAATTGCTGCCACTGTTGGGGCTGGGGATGTGGCTCAAGCGGTAGCGCGCTTGCCTGGCATGCGTGTTGCGCTGGGTTCAAGCCTCAGCACCACATACAAATAGAATAAAGATGTGTGTCCACCGAATCTCCTCTCTCTCTCTCTCTCTTAAAAAAAAAATTGCTGCCACTGTTCTCCAACTTGGTGAACCTCCTGCCTCAGACTCCCAAGTCACTGTGATTATAATTCTCATTTTCAACAATCAAGGCAGGTTAATTTTCTCATAATCTTTAGAATCTTACTGAAGCATCCTTTGGTCTCTGTAGTGATCAGCTTGGATGGCATAAAATTAAAGCTTTCATGCTAGCTTTCCTAGTTGTGATTTTTCTCACCTGGAACTGGTATTTGCCCATTTAACAATAAAAAGTTTATGAAGATTAAGAGACTAAAATTTCCCTCAACATCAAAGGATAAGTACAAATATAAGAAAATATTGACACATTCTTATCTTACAGAGTAAAATTCATTCACAACTTCTCTGTCCAGGGTTCAAAAGTAAACCATAGTTCTCAAGTTTTCAGGCTAACTCCAAGAATCTGCAGACTAGAACCAGCCACTACTATGTTCCCACTCACCTTTCCAGCCCCCACACAAATTTTGGTTAGTGCCATTGTGACTAAAAAGAAATCCATGTGTATTGTTTGAAGAGTCCATGAATTTCAGTATTGGACAAAAGTAATTTACTGTATTGAGATTTGAAAATGTTGGGGAAAAAGGAGAGCCATGTGTGGTCATGGAAATCTTACAACATAAACATTAATTAGGAAAGTTAGCCCAGAGGCAGTGTTTCTGAGGGTACAGGGTCTCACGGGTCTGAACACAACATTCTTCAACCAAAACCCTTAGATGACTCCACTGGTCATTTAAGGCTCCCCACAACCTAGTGCAACCTCACTCTCCTGCCTCATCTTCCTACTAACTCTTCCTGTTACGAACTATGCATATTAACCTCAGTATGCTTGCATTTTATTTAATGTAGTGACTACCTATTTTTATCTGCCTGACATCCTATTTCCCCTCCTTTTGGTCCTCTCCTACCTTGTGAAGTACTACACTAGCTCTGCCTACTGCACAGGATTCTAGTAGGGGCCACAGAAGTTTTCTGAAGGCTTTCTCACCCCTAGTTAAAATTTTTCTGCTTTATGGGATCCTATGAACAGTAACCACTCAACACTATCTGTCCTGTGGCCAAGGAATTAGTGCATGACTCAGGCCAGACCTTATTTGCCACCCATGAGCCACAGTGGTTAGCCAGGAAGTGGGCACATAACCATGACTGGACATGAGCAAACGCCTTCGTGGGATTTTATTTTCTGGCCCCCAATAGCAGATAGCTTTCTATGGCTGATAAGC